GGAAGGAGATGAGAGACGTACTTGCCATCCACAGCAGCGACGACCTTACAGCTGAGCTCCTGCTCCTCGAGACTTCTCAGCATTCGCTCACGACGGTCTGCCCGCCGCACCAAGTTTATCATGAAAACCTGAGCGCGCACAGAGGCAGAACCTCACACACAAGCACAGTGGGTTTTTTTTTTTTTTTGGTCTACGCTTGAGTGCACGTGAGCGCGCATACCTCATCAAAGCCCATCTTGTTAGAGTGTTTGGCAGGAAGAGGCAGGAGGCTGGATGGCTCCAACGGTGGATTTTTCACTGCCGGAGAAAAAAAGGGGGGGAGTTTTTACAAACAGACTGACTAATGTGTGTGAACAGGGGTTCCCAAAATGTGGCCCAGGGAACTGCAGGGGTTCACATCTTTCAGGCGCCCCTGCAGATCTCTGTGTTCTTGAAATAAACCAGGGTGGAACTTTTGCATTTTTTAAAAGCTTTGGATAAGTTCGCGTTAATCAGCTGTAGTTTCCGCTCACATGTGAGAAAAGTCATTTTTACAGAGGAAACCGCAACCCAAATTTGGATCGAATTCTCCAGGATTTAGGACATCTTAAGCATTAGTGTTCACTCTAATAGTCACATATTACCTGCCATTGTTTTTCTAGTGTTTTGAAGGATTTTGTTTTTCCATTAGCGCTCATTCATACGTACCATCTAAACATGCCTCATCCTTTTAGTGGAAAAAGAGGGTATATAATCATGTTTTTAAAAGAAAGAACGTCTTCTTTCAATCCTAATCAAGACATGAAAAAAACATCTCTAATAAGAGGTAAATATGACCTCAGATGATGACGAGACATCCTTATTTTTGTAACTAAAGATTAATCAAAAGGCAGAAGCAACGTGTTTTCTTTCTGCCTCAATAGGAACAGCCAGTAATTCCAAGAAAGAAAAAGATGAGTGACGATCCATGAATAGCAGTTATCACCGTCCATCAATCTGAAGGGAGTTCGGACTCCATCATTTTACAGCGAGGAGGATGATTCACCAGCGGAAACAAATAAAGACAGCAGACCGTCTGCAATGGAAAGTTTAGTGCTGGCCACAGATTTGACCTTTTCTGTCTGCCAGCTAAACCTCGGCTGGAATTTGTCATACTACAGCGTATCGATCCAAACCCACCAGAAAACAGCAAAATGTGGAATGAAGCAGAAATGTTCAGAAGAAAAGGTGAGATTTCCTCGAGGTGAGAGACAGATTACATCTAGTTTTTTGTGGTCAAAGGTGGTCTCCAGGAGTTACTGAACATCAGGGAGTTTTTTTTGTGCACTGCGCCCTTTTGTGTTACATAAAAGAGAAATAGCTCATGGGATGTTCATCTGAGGTTGTGTTACCTATTTTCCGGAAATATCTCAATCCTCAATCCTTTCTCTGACAACAACATTTGAACTCCAGAAAACAAAACAGGTGTGGTTTATTAATGTAAATTCAAAAATCAAATATTTAACCCTTTAAAGACTCATCCTAGAAAAATAAGAAGATTATTGGATTTTTTTTAGTCTGAAGTCTTTCTTTGGCACCTCAACAACATATGAAGACAAAAAACAGAAATTATTTTGATCAAATTAGTGTGCAATAAGTCAAAAATATATTTTGGTGTAGTCTTTTACTGGCTGTTATCAGGTATATCTGAATGTGTACAACAGGGGTTTGAGCAAAGCTTTTACCATTGAATGATGCAAAAAGTCTCAGATTCAAAAGACTTCAGAAACCGTATGTATCAAATATGATTCATTTGGCATTATAGGGTTAACTAATAAACATGTTTTTAAAGGATTGTTTCCAAAAACGTTCTGACTCACCCATGATCTCAAGGTGAGTGTGCAAAAAGCTCTCTGCTTCATCCTGTAAAGTGGCGTGGGCACGCATTGGAACTGGGAAGTAGCCATAGATTTCCTTATTGCAGATGTACATCTGCACATCTGGGGAGGGAAGGAGACAAGAAGGTCTCAGACCAGCTCGATGAGTCCTCAACGTGAGGCGTCTCTAGCACTCGGCTCACCTGCCATGCGGGCTGAGAATGCAAAGACGATGACATCGTCCAAAGCCCAGCTGTACTCTGGGTGCGGCGGGTAGAAGGCCAGCTCTTGGGAGGCCTCTTTCCTCAGATCCACCAGGAAGGTGGAATGAACCATCGGGACAGCGAAACAGCCCAGGCGCTCCCGCCGGCGGATGGGCATGTAGGCCGGCGTACGCTTGTAGTAACCCTCAACGGGGAGAAAACACACATTGTTTAACTACAAACCCTTTTCCTGAAGATTACAGTTTGCTTAGAAATACAAACGCGAAGTAGTTCGGTCATTTAAAGACTGAGGAAATATGTGGAAATGGAGGTCTGCAAAGAAGCTAAGATGAGATCTTAAAAGGCGTTTGGCTGTTAAGAAATTGATCACATGCAGCTTTTGTCATTCATCATGGCAGCCAGTTTAAGGAGCCAACAAGGAATTAGTTAAACAAAATGCGTCTTACATGCACCTCATTTTAATGAGGACAAACAGTCTCAGTGTTCGATGGAACCGGCGCTAACAAGCCTACAAAGCAAAACCAAATTAATCATAATATGTCTCTGTAAAGCAGCCATACAATTTACAAGTCAATTGTCCACAACACAGATGGACAGTGTTTTGGTCCATCTGTGGGACAAAGCAAACCATTTACTTTAATTAGGAATTAATTTACCAGACCACAGAACAACCAGAGTAATAAAAAAAATGGCCGTATGACAAAAATAACAAAAACTCTCGCCACCCGCTTCAAATTGATTCATTTCCTGTTCAGACAGATGTATTACACAAATGCTATTTCCTCACAAATGGAAGATATGCTGAAAGTAAATCAAAATAAATATCCCTCCGGGGTGTTTATCTGTGTTCTGAAAAGGACAAGCGATTTATTCAACAGAAATACATGTAAATTACTATCTTACTGAAATTTAATGATAGCTCATTCATTATTCATCTGTGCCATGAAATAAGTAATCACAGAGTGAATGAATGTGTTATGTTAAATGTTTCATTATTCAAATACTTTCTGTTCAAAACTCTACAGCTGTAGAGTCACATGGGTAGATCAGATTCATCTCGACTATCTGAATTCAGAAAGCTCTCACAAAACTGTTCAGATTAGCATTTGAAGCCATCTCCCAAAGTGGTTAGGAGACGATCTATAAGGGCTTAATTTAATGTGGGTGTTTTCTTTTGGGTTTGTTAATCTATTCATCCTGATCTGGATCTGGATGCAATCTGGATGTGCCAAAATAAATTGGGGCTTGCCACCTAAATAAGGCCCGATATTCTACAAAAACCACTAAATGAAAACATCTGCCGCGGCGGTTTGACTTCACCATCTCCTCTGCCGCCATGCCCGTCTCCCACGTCCAAAGACTTTCAAGCTCAAGAAAGTCAGACGTAAATCTGTCATCTGGCGTATCTCGGAGAAACCCGTAATCTTTCCAACCTGCCGTCTCTCTCCGTGTGTGGCTTTTAGAAAATCAGGAAGCTGACAGAAACCTCGCTTTTTACAGCCGAACAATGAAATATCGAAGAGACACATTTCGCGTGCCGTGCTTTTAAGCCTAAACGTTCACGTATTCACGCCAGCTTTAAAGGGAATCAGAAAAAACTTCACGGTATTATTACACACAGTTGTTTGTCATCTGGAGGTCGGGCGTCAAAGATCTAGACCGGAAAGAACTGACTGCCTGAACGACATGAACAGCCAACGTGTGGAGAATCCGTCCCTGATAGACAGGCGCACACATCTCAAAATCATCCTCTGGTACCTGTGAAGTCATGCCGCACCAGAAGTTGGAGTAAGCGGCTCTGGACTCCAGCATGGGGGCCACAATGGTCTTGTTCTCCTTCATCAGCTTCCACAGCACATCCCGATTGGTCAGCAGGTTGTCGCAGTCGGCCACCTGGAGATGGAGGACAGGGGGCTAAATATTGACGATTGCACAAAAACGCGCACACAGAAAATATCCTCCACTGTCGATAAATGACTGATCAGAGAACCCTGCGACTGGCCTAGCCTAAACTCTGCCTGCTGTTCTTTTTCTGTGAGACGGAGGGCCGAGGGAACGACGAGCCGCCAAGGTCCAGCCAGCTGTTAAAGGCATTTCAGCCCGTGCACTCAAACGCAGCGCAGCCATTTGGCCGTCAGTTCACCTCTTTGTCTGTGTTCTGACTTAGTGCTTTTTCACGTGGAGACATTCTCTGCAAGGGGAAAAAAATAAGAACCGCAAAGCCTTTTTCTCTCGTTGCCGTTTCGCCTCAGATTTTCCTGGTTTTTAATTAGTCTACAGGATATGTTTAATACCAACAAGTGTGAATTTGCAGTGAAATCACATTCAACATTAATGGCATTGTAGTGGATATTTGTTAACCAGAGAGCACTGAGAAATAATTCACACAAATCAGACATACGAACTATTGATTTTAATAATTAAAGGAGATTAAGAGAGAAATATATTGTGCAATTTACGGCACTGAATTACGCACAAACATGGACATTTAAGCCATAAAACGAGAACTCTCAAGGGAATTTCTCTGCCACGTGGACTCATTAAACAACATATTAAAACATGGCGCTAAAAGGCCGCTTATGTATTTTATAAACAACCTAAAATCCTTTCTTACACATTTGTGTATTTGTTCATATCTTGAGCTTGATATGAAATCAGTCTTATCTCCCAGGCCTCAGTTTAAAGAAACTCTTAAATCAGAGTAAGAGTTGCATGGTCACATAATTCAATTGTTACAGTAGTTAGACCTCAACAGTTACAGTAAAAATGCACTAAATCCCGATTATTATTTCCTTGTGCACACAGTATGGAGAAGTGCACACAGGAGCTGAGTGACTCACGATGACTCAGCTGACTATATATTGCAGAGATACGTCCAAACAGACAGAACTGAGACTCGATCATGAAAAGAAAGAACGCGAGACAGCTGGATATGCGATCACCAACCAGGAAGTAGTCGGCCCAGATCTCGCGGGCCGTCTCCAGCGCCGCCTGCCGGAGCTTCATCACGTGTTCGTAGCGTAGGTCGTTCCAGTGCTTGGGACCCACCTCGTCCTCGAAGGCACTGAGACACGCAAAGAGCGTTTTGTCACACGGCGTGCTCCACGCGGACGCACGCGTCCACATTGGTCCACGCAAACACAGTACCTGGGCTCCTCCTCGGGTCTCCACTCCACATAGTGATAGTGATTCTGCACCTGGATGAGCCAGTCCCTGAGGATGGCCGTGGTGTTATCTGTATTGTGATCTGTCGCCACCCTGTGGGAGGAGGAAAGACAGAAGAGGACACCTGGATGAGGAGCAGACTTCAAAGTCATAGATGCTCATCTTTTTCAGTAAATAATCTACTTTTGGCTTGAGGATGAAGGCACAGATAAAATCTTCTAACTGTGGATCTTGATGATACAGCAGCAGCGTATCAGGGATCCATCCGTCCAAAATATGAAAACAAACCGTTATCAGCTGCCTCTGAGCAATAAATGGGGCAAGCGGGGCTGGAAGTAGTACACAAGATTTGTTTTTCTTTATTTAAACATCTGTATGAGCCGAGCTCCGATCATTTCTGCGTGTCAGCACAAACAAACATCCAAACATCGAGGAACCTGGTCATGGGTTATGCTGGCCACGCAAACACAAATGTAATTAACAGATATAAAAAGGGTCTAACTGCCAGCTGGGTTTTGGGGCTTATCGTACGCTGCTGGGAGACACGGACCCCTGCTGATTTTGTTTAAAAAAAACTCTCTGTAGAGGCAGTCGGGGCAGGAATAAAAAGAAATCTCATTATTTTTTTACCTTCTTATGTGCTATGACCTCTGATGGAATTCAGCCGGACGGTTAAGATGCAGACGCTGATAAACTTACCTTGACCTCGGCGGTTCACAGCATTGATTTATGTTCTTAAAAGGTCACGTTCTTTACCTGCTCTGCCGTAACTCCATGAAACTGCTTTCATTTAGACCCTAAACTTCAAACGTCTGACAAAAAAGATTGGTCTCATTCAAAGTATGGTTTCAAACTGAGCTAAAAGCATTTCCGACTTATGTTAATATTATGTTAATATATCCCAAGAACTGATCTTCCATCACAAACAAGAAGCACATGGGCTTCTGAACCCCCTAAAATCTGCTGATGGTTTACACCCTTTAAAGAAAAAAATAGAGCGATTATTCTAAATCTTTTTAATCGGAAATCTTTAGTATTAGTATTGTTGTGTGGTCTTCCCATTGGTGTCTGGTACACCAGATTATGTACAACAGGGTTTTGGGCAAAGTCTTTCTAAAGTAATGCAATAGGATTCAGGACTCAGGTGTTAAAGATTTTAGAGGCGCATGTATCGAATATGCAACATTCAACATCATGGAGTTAAGGCCTCATTATTCCACTGTACGAACGGTGGATCGTCTCTCCACTTTAAACTACTCTCTCTGTTTGATGCCTCAAACTATATCGCCATTTATCGCCATCTAACATCTACCAGATGACAATAATCAAACCTGTCTCTCCACCTGGACACAAGGTGACCACACCTACTAGCTGTGGCTCTATACTGCCCTCTTGTGTGCAAATGATTTACCTTCCAGACGATATCAACACCCTAAATGAAGACGCCGGTTCTCTTCCTGTGCAGCACAACAATCAGCCATGTTTCCGATCCAGTCCCTTTATTATCATTGACTAGTCCTCAACACACTACTCTCTTCCTTTCCCACCAGCCCATGAGAGACCCAACTCAATGTATTTATGTCTTCGTGGCTCATTATTTCTGCTTCACTCAGGCCTTGACATGTCTTCTTCCCTCTGATTTCTACTAAATCAGATTTTATAATATTTTGAAACGTGTCCGAAACCGTTTCTGAAAAGCAGCACAGAGAGACTGAGTATCGACTCGACTCACGGTCACCCAAAGATCACCTCTGGACAGCTTTTTCTGCTCTGATGGGAAAGGGAGAAAAAAAAAAAAAGGATTTAAAAAAAACCCACACATCATAGAAAAACCACACCATCTAAAGACGATTTTGGGCTGTATCTGAGGAGATGCCCCAGAGAGATAATTAAAAGTGACAGCGCGTCTCCGGTGTTTTCTCAGCACAGTTCACAGCCCGCTGGAGCTGCCGAGGCGGCTCAGAGGCGAGGCTCCGTCTCACCGAGCAGCAGGGCAGAGGCAGAGAGCTGCGTCTGCTGCGGGGCAGAGTTTGCCTCCTCACCATCTGCTCTGATTGTGTTTTTTTCATAGCGGGCCAGAAAAGAAAAAGCGCCGGATAAACAATGCGGAAAGGGTGTGATTTACCAGCCTGCAATTCCAATAGCTTGGAAAACATTTGGAACTGGCTCTCCTATTCCCGATTCCCATCACTATACGTGAGCCGGTAGACTGTTTTCTGCCCGTGCTTGTGCCCAGGCTGGGAGACGACAGACCCATTGAGTCTCGTAAATTGGGCGATGAGCTTAGCTCAACTTAAAAGACACCGGAAATGTACTGAGGCTCCTGGCAAACTGGTGCTACAGACAGAGGCTGTGCAGCTTTTCCGGCAGATAACAGGAGAATTAGTTTATTTGATCCTTTCCTAAAAGCCTAAAAAGGGCTTTTCAGCATCTTTCTCTGTCAATTTCAGAGACATTTTACACTTCATGAAAAGGAGAAGGCGCGTGTAGGAATTTTGCAAGAAATGTTATTTCACCTGCAGGATAAAAAGGATAAAAAAAGCAGGAACGGGATAAGAAGAAAAGGCAGACAATAGGGGCTGAGGAGGGGGGATGAGCCTCCATTATCTGCTGTCTGTGTTATCATAGCAAATCCCGGCGTGTCGGGGATGAGCAGCTTCACAGACTGTGAAAGAATGCGTAAATATGACAAACGGATTTACCTCTCACCCCGTCGCGGCGGGCCCGGCGGGCTGCCGGCGTTGGTTTTTCCCAAATGTCTGAGGGGCATTTAACACAGCCGTGCCGCCTGACTCAGCACCTACGCGCCACCGGCCCACCGATCTTCATCTGGCACTTCCCCGGCACATCCGTCTACCCTGTCAGATCAGAGCTACCCGACTGCGGAGGGGGTTCCCGAAAAGCCTCGGGAGCACCGACTTTAAACGGGGGGTTTATGGGGTGCAAAATATCGGGGATGTGATTTCCACGCTTCGTGCTTCACGTGTGGGAGCAGCTCGTCCATCTTCATCTTTCCTTTCTACATAAATCAAGCCACTAAATGGCGAGCAGGCAGAAAGCTGTTTCTCACATGGGGATGGAGTTCCACTGAGCTGAGCACATGGCTCGATTAGAGGGTTCAATATCCTGCCCGGTCTGTTTAAAGACACAGGCGGACATCTGAATACCCTCGATCAGTCTCCAGCTGATTTAAATGTCCTCTCAGATCAAACAGGCTTATTCATAAAAATGCATTATGTCTACTTGTGACCGAGGTCCCCCATCATCAGATTAAACACAACTCCGCCAGAGCTCGTCGGTTTCATTTCCCCTTCATCTGTGTGGCGTACATGCCCATAAAACACATGAACCGATTTATGAAAATAGATCTGCTGGCTGAAGAACAATGTGAGAAGAGGAAGTGAGACAGGAGACGGACGAGAATGGCCTGGGAGTCTGGGGGAAGGGTGAGAGAAAGAGACAGCCTCAGGCCTCCCCAACAATCTGTTTTGACCTGAGTTGACTTCTTCTAAGTCAGGTGGTCGTTTGTAAAAAAAAAAAAAAAAAAACTTTCTCCAACAGTAAAAGTTCTGTTTCAGGCGAGTCTAGAGGGCGAAGATGTGGAATGGGAAAGGGAGGGGGCAGAGGAATAGAAGGAAGAGGTTTGAGGAGGGGAAAGGGAAGAGGGGGGGGGGGGGGGGAGGTGGAAACCAAGTGGCGCTTGGAGAAGATCCGTGACTGAATGGAACTTTTTACGGGCTCCTCCCTCTCCGGGACGCACAGATCCACACAGAACCCCCCCACCCCCCCACCCCGGGTCCGTGTGGAACCGGGCCGTGGTCCCTTCCACTGCTTCCCCCCACTCTAACTTCAGCGATCGAGTCCATATGTGAAGCATACAAAGACAAAACATGCACATACTCTCTAAAATATATCCCCCACCGCCTGGGGAGATGACAGTGACTCCCATTGAGCCCCACTAGGCTGCCGGTTTCCTCTTAAAACGTCCCTGGAAAGTTTACGCAGGACACCCTGTGACTGTTCTCGTTTTGTTTGTTTGTTTGTGTGTTTGTTTTGCAGGCTGGCACTCACCACAGCGCTATGCGGTCCTTCGGGTAGCTGAGCCGCTCGATGGCTCCCAGCAGCAGCGGCAGAGAGTGCGCCGAGTTGCGGCAGACCAGCGCGATGACGACCCGGGGAGCGAGGAGCGCAGACTCGGGGCTCCAGCGCTCCTCCGTGAAATATCCCCGGCTCGGGCCCGGCGGGACAACCAGCAGCAGGGCGGACAGCAGCGAGGTGACCCGGAGCATGGCAGGGTGGGGGGGATGAGGCTAAGGTGGGGGGTGGGGGTGTCAGAGAAACTCTGGCGTGACGCGGCACACACGGAGAAAGGAGACGCGCAAAAACCGAGCGCACCACGGTTGTGTTGCGCCGACGCGGAGTGGCTGTGCGGCGGAGGAGAGGCGACGTTTGGGTTAAAGGGGAGGTCCGGAGCCCTGGGGGGGGCACACGCTGTTCTCTGGTACCGCTGTCATGTCGGCCCCCCCTGTGCGCGGATTTCCACCGTGTACGATGATCGTATGCAATACGCGTTAAGGTCGGATCAGAACGGAGTGTTCGTTTTACCAAATGGAGACGCACGCATACGCCGCGTCCCTTGGCCGAAAAGCAGAGCTCCCCTTTAAGAGGAGCGGAAGATGCGTCCGTAGGAAGCAGATGGAACGCCATGGAGGTGGCTCCATACGAGGGGAGGCGACAGCAGGCCCGTTAGGCTTAAAACAGCCCAAAAATTATCTGAAATAGTCTTTAAATAAACTATGTATATTCACAGATGGGTATCTCTTAATGTTAATCAAAGAAAATGGATTTGAATCTGAACGTTTGGCCTATTTGTTTTATTATAATTATTATAATCTCACACTGTTGGTTGATCATCAGGATAGCTTTATACATTTCCACTTTTCTTACTAAACAACTACCATAGATGTACGTAAAATACTTTAAATACTTAATTTGATATTATATGCCTGAGTAAAATACAACTTCAAGGCCAAGACCATATCAAGGACAGTCCCAATTCATTCCCAGTCTGGGACCAAATCAAGGATTAATGCTTAAGAAAAATAATTGATACAAACGTTGTGTTTCTTAGCCTTGATTTGAATAATATTCTATATACTTTCACAGGCAACAGTTTTTTCATTGCTAAGAAATATCGTCATGTTTAAAGTGTGTCATCGCACACATTCACAAAAACATGGTACATTTTCTGCAAATCTCTCTTTGTTGTAAAAGTAACATCATTCCCGTAACTGTCTTGTTTGGTTCCAGGTAAAATAACTTACAAAGAAGTCAAGCATCTACTTATTAAAAAGACAGAACAAGATTTGAAGAAATTATGAATACAAAGTATAATTTGTCTGTTTGATTTAATGTGATGCTCTTTGTTTGGCTTCACTAAATCTGGACATTTGTTGTACAAATGTGAATTTGTACCATGTAGGAAATAAACTTGTTATTTTCTGATTGTTCTGTGATAAACTTCCAACATTGGCAAGGTGATCTGTGGTTTGTTTTTAGCTTCAGCAAGAAGCTGTGTGTGTTTTTGAGCTATGAAAAAGGACTTCCATGGTACTTGGAGTGTTTCTGAAACTGTTGAACAACCCTTCTGACGTATAATTGGAAATCTTTTGGCCGTCACCACGAGGCAGCAGATTGCGGCTCACTGGCTGAGAGATGCCAGAGCTGGAGCTGCAGGAGCTGCTGGCACCGGAACCAGAGCCACCGAGGGCTGGGGCAGCCAGGACCTTGAAACGAAACAGTCACTGTGTTACTTTTTAGCATCTGAGAAAGTCTGGATTCTAAAGTGACACTTCAACTTTTATCATATTTCTTAAGGTTTGACTTTGACACCAACTAATGTTCAGAAACTTTACCTGACTGGATATAAGAGGACAAGTTAGCTTTTAGGATAGATTTAAAGACAAAGTCAGGGCGAATGATAAGGGATGGCTCCAAGTTGACCATGACCAACCAGTTAATGCTTTATTTAAAATAAGGAACAAATTGAATTAAATTACATATTCCTTTGAAAATATAAAGCACACACCTGCTCATTCACACTTGCTGGTGTTGTTATTGAGTTACCTTATAACGCAGAGACAGCAGTTCTGCCTGGGGGGGGGGGACATGAACACTTAGAAGGAAAAAGAGGGAAATAAGAAAAAACATGACTTTTTCAATTGAAAAGTCATGGACTCTGTGTCTGACCTTGGAGAGCACTGCTGTGAGCTGAGAGGAATCAGATGAGAAAGCTGGATACCACAAAACTAGCCTCCCAACACATCAGAGCACACATATCAACCACCTGGAGGAGAAGAGGATAGGGGCAGATGGAACTAATGACTTATTTTCCTCCATTTTCTTTGTTCGGAACCATGCTGATAGCATTACTTTGTAGTGAGCGCTCTGAACTTTGAGAAACAAAGGTCTCCAGGTCTCACAGGGGACGTGCCATGTTCCCTGGAGCCAACCCTGGCCCTCTGAGCTGATCTCCAGCCCGTCTAAGCACCACCAAGTCCTGGCACCATTCAGTCCTTCTCAGAAGATCTAACACCTACAATAAGAAACTCTTTACTTACTGTGCATTACCATGAGAAAGCATCAAATCACCTATTAGTATTCCAACAACCCGCACTGTAATTGTGCTGTCAGTTTTTTAGTGGTGCCCCTCCCAAACAGCTAAAGCCCATAATTAAACATCTCCATGGGTTCTAGTCATCCAAAGAACTAAGCGGGAGGAGTGTGATGCGTGATGAACATGTTAATCAAGGATTCTTCTCATGATTTCCTTTTTATCTGGGCCTGTTTTGTATTTTAGTCTGCTGATGTGTTCATTGATGCCGCATCTTTCGGGAGGAAGTGTTGCCAAGCAGATGCAAATCCACTGCAGATGGGCAGAGTGGGACGGAGTCTTGCGGCGATGATGCGTCGAAGCCCACACATCTCCTCTATTCTGAAAATACAGCGGCAAAAAGCAAAAGGAGAGATGAATAATGACCCGGTGTTTCATATCGTCCGCACTCACAGCCCAACACAACCATGATTGTGTGAGCGACACAGTGGTGTGCTGGAGCCCCGCAGTCATCTGTTTCTCCACATTGGAGCGATAAAGGGACAGCTCCTCTTTTACGACCAGTTCTTACCCGATGCTTTACTATCCTGTATCTGACAGGTTTGCATTCGTGCACATATAAAAGTGGGTACAACAGAGGGCAGGCCTGGTGCATTTACCTGCACAAGGGTTTACAGCAAACACTTTCATTTTGTCGTAGTTCCTCGCTTGAACCAGATTTTCTTCTTCCTTCTGCAATGTGCAGCAATCTCATCCTTGAGGAAGGGTACAGCTTTCTCCTTTATCATGTTCACCAATACCTATTGTCACGTCTGGTGTCTCGTCATGTCATGATTACCTATTGTGTACACCTGGGGTTCCCTTCCCTCATGTGTTCAAATAGTCCTGTTTCCCCTTGTCTGGCGCGAGTGCGTTTTCGTCTTTCGTCTTTTGTCCGTCGTCTCCCCCACGCCAGGTTTGTTTTGCCATAGTCTTTGTTTTCGTCATAGTTCTGCCATAGTCACAGTTTTGCCACAGTTTTGTCAATCGTTATTTTGTTACTTTACCCAGTCTTGTTTACTCATTGCGTTGTTACTTTGATCACAGTTTTCCACAGCTTTGCTTTGTACTTTGTCTGGACATTCACTCTGGTTTTTGTTACAATAAACCTTGTTCCCCTCATTCCGCGACTGAGTCCTCCTCCAAGACCCACCCACCTTACACCTATGAGTCTAAGAGAGACAGTGTTCATGGAAGAAAACGGATTCTATTAAAGGTGGGGTGCATAACAGACATGCAACAGATCCACAAAATCCTACACAGGAAATTCACTGTAAGCTGACTATCATATTGAATAATACCTTGTCTAATGATAGCTCACCTTTTCATTGTTGCCTACAGGCAGCCCTGGAGTTTGAGTCTTTCCTCTGAGCTTTTTCGTACAAGGCGCAGCATTCAAGAAGGCTCTTGTCTGAATCTCCACACCAGAGTGCTGTCGAACAGCAGGAGAGCCATAGTCAAGGGAGTAGAATGGAGAATTGCAATTATGTAAAAAACAAAAGACTTAAATGGCTCTTCTTAATAAACAATGATTAAAAAGTTCCCTGAGCTCTGATCATGTGTTGCAACTCGAACTATGTTCTCCCACTGTAAGGCCGCTGTATGAAGGCCGTAAATGCTGTGGGACCATTCCTTTGTCATCTGATTTACCTGAGATGGGAGTGCACAAAAACGCAAGCTTGTTGACAAGACAGAACAAATATGCACACCTAATTTGTGGATACAGACAATGAACAAAACAGCTGTGGAGTTAAAGCATGCCTGTGATGTGTCGGCACATGCCATCCACCGACCGTCGGCGCTCGGGTAAGGGGGTGCGGGTCTTACAGCCCGCGAGAACAATCTCTGGCCTACACCCCCGAATACCTGGGACAATCAAAGACACGCTGGAGGAGGCACCAGATGTAGGTCAGGGTGCAGCTGGATTCTGTTCTCACCAGTTCTCACTTTCCACTGCAAAGCTGCCGGTGACCTGCAGGTGGCGATGAGTCCAGATCCCATCCAGTCCCCTCCAGATCAACACCCACACATTTCGTGACACCCCGAGGTGTCAATGCCAGAGAACGCCACACCCAAAAGGTTTAATTTTAGGCCCCTTTTTTTTTCACTGTTTGCTGAATCAGCGCTTTGTCTGGAAAATTCAGAAAGGAGATTGCAGTGAAGGACAGATAAACAGGGTTTTAATCAGGAAAATATTAGGATGCTCATCAACTTCTTTTGCTGAAATTCAGGGAAAAAAACAAACAAGTGCCATTGGTTTTTCACCAGTGACAGAGCCTTTAAGTTTCTGTCAGACTGTCCAGGCTCTACTGGCTGAACGGCCGATAAGCCATGGGAAATTTACATTTAAAGTACATAGGACTTCCTCAGATATTCATTTCTCAGTTCAGTCTTATTTGTCTACTGATCCATGAATTCCAGTTTACATTTTAATTCATTTTCTGGTTTTATGGACCGTCTGCAAAAACATTCCGGGAAACACTGTGAAGGTCTGCTCCAAGGTGACTGAAGTCCAGCCGTCAGCTCACTCTGGGAAAAATAAAAGAGAATCATTAGTCAGTCTGACCACATTCTTTCCCACACATTCTCCCCAGTATTCTTTTGACAGGCCAATTTGGTGCTGTCAACAAATATTTAAAAAGATTTTTTTACATGAATTTCTATTTTATCTTATTTTCTTCATGTACTTCTAGCACTTCCTCTTCAATGTAAAAAAAGATTTATTTAATCTAAATACTGCAATGTTTCCTCAGATATTTGGTCACTTGAGTGGAGGTTTTGATGACGCCTTTGTTTTGTTTTGTTACTCTCTATTAGACTGCTGTCTATTAGAAGTTTGGGCATGGAGTTAAAACTATGACATGATGTACTGTTTTTAATTACCTATATTCATTCCCCTGTTCAATTTTATTCGTCAGGCACTTAAAAACTATGGTAATTTCTCTAAAAAGGACTATGCAATGATGTGTGATATTTCAGTTCTTTAAGTACATGTGCATCTCATTTTCCTTTTTTCATTCTCCCCTCACACATGCTCTCTTCTGACATTTAATGCACAATAAGGGTTAAGACTCTCAGTGAATGAGGGTGTGAGGGGTTACACAGCCAACATAATGTTTTGTGCACCTGATGCATGAACAAACCAGGTGGGTTGCGTGAATGGAAGCATGATTAATGAGAAAAAAAAAGGAAACTCGGTCACGCCACCATCTCACCGGGTTGGAGTCCAGCCACATGATCTGAGGGCCCAATGTAAGGTGGAGCAACCTTTCACGGTTAAGACGGTTAAGTCTAAGAGCATTTCAATTAACTGAATATATCATTCACAGTTCTTGAAATTCATTGTTCTAATGTGCAAAAAGTTATTTCATTCGCACAGAATAAAAACATGGACCAAGATTTGCTTAAAGATAATGCTAGACTCTCCACATTGAGATCATAATTACCACAAGTTACTGGTCTCAGGTGGGTTTATGAGCTATTTAGTCACATGCCATCCTCTGCTTTTGACACATTGCACCTGCGTCTTGCCTCAGGCTTTATTCATGAATATTGTTTTACTCAGTATTCATTAATTAAAAGTGACATAGATCAACATGTCAGGTGTGGTTATTTTTCATCTAATTGATTTTACTTTTAACAGCTGGTAAAGACAAAGATGGTCACTTTCACAACAACCTGATGCATAAATATCAGAGGTTTATGAGAGCCTACTTCCATTTCCACATGACTATAAGTTTTAAAGTTTACACTCACAATGGGCACGACCCAAAAAGCTCTGAAAAGCCATTGTAGAAACACATGTATGGGCACATGCTGAGATACCTTTCGTATGGATGATACGTTTCAACTTGTCCCAGGCAGTAAATCAGACACTGAATTATTGGTGATTCTAAATTAACCGTCAGGTTATGGGTCCAGCGTGCGGGGATGTCTCCTTTCTGTCAGGCTTTAGATAGATTGATGACCTGTCCTGTGTGTACCCCACCTCTTCCCCCATGGCAGCTTTGATAGACATACCCCTCGACCCTGGACAAGATAAAGCATGTAGAATGGATGGAAATGTGAGAAACCTTTCAATCCACATGGCAATTTTCATTCATTCTTTCAGACGAGAATGTGCATCAGGGGAACATGAATCATGTCTGAAAAACGATGTGTTCCACGTGTGGTCATGATCTGAGCAGCCCAGAGACTTAAAGGGCAATGAAACCGGATCCATGCAGAAGTGTTGTATATCAAATAGCGGCACTTCGTGACCAGATGACATACAAGGGGTGCATAAATGTAGCAGAATATTTATTCAGTGCCGTGTTGCTTTGAATATTTTCAAAATTTTGACCATGAAAAAAATATCACACATTTCCACCAGAATGTAAAAGCTCCTAACACAATCCCACTTGCATGGTGGGGGGGAAATGACAGGCAAAAGCACAAGAATGAATTTGGCCTTGGGATATGACAATTCAACGTAAATCACAGTGTCAAAAGTGTCAGTTTGACAGGATTATAGGATTATATACGGCTACACCTGGTGGACGCACATTGGTTTAGTTTGAAAAGACTGTAAACGGATCTTCTGTGCAGCTTCAGCTCATCTTGGACTGAACATAGACACAGGCCACTTCCAGAGTGGTGTATGGCAACTGCAATGCAAAACTGACACCTAAACGCACCTCCCCCTTTCTGTTCTTCACTTCCCACCGGCCCTTCCTGCTTCATACTGACAACTCAAGCCAGCCTAGTGCCCACTGGAGCAACAATGAGCCACCAAGCCTCTCTGCCTGCACCTCCTGGTTCTGGGGCAGATGCCTTGCCTTTCGACTCCACAGAATGGTGTGAAGAACATGAGGAGTACCTGTCCATGTTCTGTCTGGATGACTTGGAGCCCCTGTGTGAGCAGTGTGCTGCTGACAGCCATGCAGGGCACAAGGTTTACCTTTTAACTGAGGCAGCAGTTGACTGTAAGGTAGGAATCAGGCTTTTACCCCAGCAGCTGCCAATCACTGTACACATAGCTATAATGGTTATATAAATCTCGTTTTACGTTTTTGAGAGCAACAAAACATGGTTTTGGCAGACTTGGAATACAAACTTTGCAAACTAAACAAACTCTCTTCGACCAAATTTCTAAGTGATTTTGCTGTTCCAAATGTTGCAAGCTCAGCTTTTTAAACATAGAGTTCTTTAACCTCCCGTTGCTTCATTTGATCATGTTCAGAGGCCCTGACGACTAAAACCATTGGCAAGGTCAATGTTTGCCAACCATATTGCTTGAATGCTGGTATTCTGGTAGCAGTTGTTAGGAAGCTATAAAGCCAAACCGAAAAGGTCGCACAAAGCTGAAAAATAGCAGAAATTGCATCCAGTTTTGGAAGCTCTGGCTCTGAACCCTATTTTCGTTTGCCAAGACTAAGGGAGCCATCTCGTGATTCTTTCATGCTTTTTAATTTGGAGACTTCCTGCAGCCACATGAAGTAGATATTTAAACAAGGAAGCAGCCAGGCTTTCTTAAAACCTCCTGTATTTCCGACCCAAACAGACGCAGCCTTAGTATAATGGAGTATTTGATGATCCGGGGCCAAATCTACAGGAACTTAGGAAGCAGCATCCAGCTGGGCTGGTAATAACTGTTTCCATCATTGTATATGTAGGTGGATAGGTCTCACAGGTTATGAAATCTGTGCAAACACACGCCCTGAGATATCAAAGATAATCTGAAGAGCAGTTGGTGAAGGAATGTTGTCAGTAAAAGGGGCGGGGCAGGGAAATATGCCACAGGGAATCACGTATCTTTATACCGAGGCCAGTTGCAGAGGACATGCCTTTTTTTTTTAGCTCAGGTATTAATGTCAATATCTCACTGCAAAAACTTTTTTTTTCAATTGCACACAAGCAGTACTACTTTAAATGTTAAACTTTTACGGTGGTAAATGCTGCTGAAAAATCACAAATACTGCCGCTTTTGTACTATAAGCATTTAGATGCTGTATCCTGGACTTAAATTTCTCTTGTATAGCCAATTTTAGATAATTTCTGTGTATATGACAGCTTTATCTCTTGGTTGTTATCATATTTCCTCACATGAAATTCTGATGTCAGTTACTTTAACCCCTAACAAATTAAATAACAGTACTTTTAACTGTAGAAGACCCTGTGCTGGTATTTAAGTAAAGACTTGACGTCTTGGTCAAGATGCATCCAAACATGCCCAAACCATGGCACAGCCACCACCCTGCTTCACAGCTGAATTTACATTCTTTCTGACATTAATTCATTCTGAAAGTAGTGGAGTCCAAACAATCTTTCAATTCAAACTTGGCTTGCCTTTTTTAATTTAAAACCTCCGTTAGGGCAATGGTGCGTAATCATGCATCCACCCACTTTGTGCCCTACATAACTAACTCAGGCTTCATAACTTTGTGGAGTGATTCCAAGACCTCCCTTTAGCCAGCAGCCTCACTCAGTGCTTTTGAGTGCACTGAGATTTTTTCATGTCAGATGACAGATACAGTGTCACCTCTCCGTCAAGTCTTGAATATGCTCCTATTGGTCCAGTCTGTTTGAACACGTGACTCTTTTATCTTCAAATTGATCCTTTAAATTTAAATGCCTTTAGCACTGATATACATTCATCATATATGACTTATGTTTAAAAAGATACCAGTGAAAAAAGAAAACTATCGGCTCATCAAATTCTCTCAATTTACTTTTAACACTTCCTAAAAAATTATCACAAAATTTGTGTAATAATTTCACAGAAAGTTTAAAAAAATTCTGAAGAGTACATACATACACATAGTCAAAGATCACCTGAATTGAAAAGTTTGTAAGGTTGTTGACTGAGGTAACAGTTGAGGAGTATTTCAAAGGCAATTCCCTGTTGGACACTAGGAGGAGCTCAAAAACTTTCTGAGTGGATTGAACATGAAGATGGAACGCTTCAAGCAGGTCAGACAGGCCTGTCAACTTACTTCCAAGTACAACCAGGTGCTTCAACAAACCTCAATTAAAAATGATCCTCATTTCTTCAGACGTCTGCACAAGCAATAAGTGTGTTCCCTTTCTTTTGAGGCTGAGGCCCAACTGACGGAGGAGCTGATGATGAAAGAATTCGAGAAACTTTGCAAGTTTTTGAGAGAGGAGGAAGCGTCCAGGCTGCTTGCTCTGAGGGAGGAAAAAGAACAGAAGATGAGCAAAGCTGAGGAGAGGATTGGCAGAGTGAATCAGATGATAACATCTCTGGAAGGGAAGATCCAACTCGTTGAAGGGGAGCTCGATGCGGACGGAGATGGAGCTGACTTCTTACAGGTGATACGAATCAAGTGACACATTGTAAAACAAACTGGACTGGGTTTGCATCTTAAACCATTCAAACTCTCGTTCACAGCTCTACCAAGATACAATGAGCAGGTACGTGACCAGTTCAACAAAAATACAAAGTCCAAGCATCTGAACGTTTATCCGTCTATATGTATTCACTTTAGCGCATGGATTAGTCAAATGGAGCCAGGAGAGCGTCCCAGACCTCTAATTGACGTGGCGAAACACTTGGGTAACCTCAATTATGCCGTGTGGGAGAAGATGAAACGCATCTCACCCTACAGTTAGTGTCCCCCCCTGTGTACACACATGTCCCGAAGTTCTCACTGCTTCCTGTTTCAGGTTCTCTAATATCCTCTTTTCCAGCTCCAGTCGTCCTGGATCCTAGGACAGCTGGCCAGTCTGTGAGGTTGTCTCCTGGGCTTAACAGTGTCCGGATCGCGTCCAGACCCTCTCAGGGGTCAGAACAGGAAATGGGTGGGGCTTTGTCTCTCCCTGACAACCCTGAACGATTCCATCATCGTTCCTGTATTTTGGGAAGGGAAGGCTTTAACTCAGGAGTACACTGTTGGGAAATCAAGGTATTTTCATCATACGTGTGTATTTATATATGAGCATGTATATATATATATGCTGCTTAGTAAATATTTTGTCTAAAATGTTTTCAAAAAATGTTTAGAGACTAAGAAGTATGCAACAAAATATGATGATTTGCAAAGTGAAGAAATCTACATTTTGTTCAGAAAATACTATCAACATATTTATTCCAATGGGAAAAAAATGCAATTTGATGCTGTGACAGAATTCTGTTTCCTCTCTTCTGTTAACCACAGCCTGCAAATGAACTGAGATGATCAAAGTTTTCAGTCTTCATAATTTTGAGTGGGGAAAAAACATCCTGAAATATAGTATTTGCTTTTGCAGACTGTCGAACTTTTGACTAGCTTTACCTCTGAGAATCTTTACCTCTCTGCGTGGGTTCTTTTTTATTGTAACATGCTGCCTCCGAACCTCAAAAACTGCTACATTTTGCTTCAGCTGTTTCCTCCTGGTGCTACCTTTCTAGCCCTTTTGTTGTCCCTTACCTCCCTTTCTAAATTCGAAGCTGCCATCAGTCCAAGATTCATTGATTTTCCACCTTGTTTTGTCTTGGTTGTTTACATCAGGTTGGGGACATTGACAACTGGACACTCGGTGTGGCTGCTCAGTCGTTGTCCAGAGGAGCAGAAATTGAGGCGTGTCCAGAGGCAGGACTCTGGTGTATCAGCCTGAGAGACGGAGAGTACCGAGCCCTCACAACTCCCTCTCAGATCCTTAACTTTGACAGCTCGGACCATCTCAGCAGGGTTCAGGTGAAGCTGGACTGTGATGAAGGTACACTGGAGTTCATAAATGCCGACATTGGCGCGCTTCTTTTTAGGTTCCGGCATTGCTTTGCAGAGATGACGTACCCGTACTTTGAGAGTGTCTCTGTGGGGGGTAATCTTGCTGTGTTGGAGCAAAGAGTGGACATCAGCATGGGGTCAGAACAAACTGTTATACTTGGAAAGGATCAGGAAATGAAAGCCCAATCTCCCACAGAGAAAGGTACCATTACTGACTCACAAAGCAATGGAAAAGCAGGCATTGAACATTTGATTGAAGAAAGGAAAGAAAAAGCTGTTTGTTCTGTGATAAACAAGAATGAGGCACAATTCCCCGAAAAGGACAACAACACAGCCGCCGTGAAAAAAAAGACTAGAAAGGCCAAGTTCAATGTGACCTACCACGTTTCATTAAACAGGGCGCTGAATAACATCAACAATGAGTCCGGAAGCCACAAATGAAGCGTCTTAAAAGATGACAATCTGACCTCTTATCGCAGCGTTGAGAAACAAGCACTTAGGAAAGAATTAAACTTGTTTTTCAGCTTCAGAGCACATCTCTGGGGTTTGCAGTGATGTTCTGTTTACGGCTATGTGGAAGGGCTTCAAGAGAAACAGCTCGAAAAACCACAATGAAATAAGGTATCTTTTAAAGCATTGGTCTGAGTAAAGTAAAAAAAAAAAAACACAAAAGTGGTTTAATGGTTTTTCACATTAAGTTGTAATATCAGATGTTAAAAGAATCTTTGATTTCTGAAAAAAACATGGAAAATGCTTTGACCTGTACTTTGTGTGAATTGCTTAGCTAAATGATATTGTGAGTTTGGTTTGGTGATGAGGAAAAAGGTATATGATATTGAGTTACAGATGTGGTATATCACATGAACTTATTGGTAAAATTTAAGACTATATACTGTGCAATGTTAAATATACACAGCCTTTTCACATAAGACAGTATTTTGTTGCAAAAAACAGAAATATTCACATTATAGCATTAGTAAAGAGAATACATTTTTCCTACAAAGTCTTTATTTAGAACAAGGGTCTGTATCTTGTGAGGATGCTCCTGTCTCATAGTGATACTCTGCCCTGCTTGATGGCGTCACATAGTTCATCAGTAACAGCCTCGTAACGCCCTGAGTGAGAGTTGAGAAAGTAGATCTTTTCCACCGTGTGTTGTGGCTTGTATCCTTCCCTCTGCAGACGCATTTTTGAAATTTTAAAAGTGCCTGAGAAATAAAAGCAGAACAAAAAAACAGTTTGCATCTACATTCCCTTCATTCTTTTTTTCCCCTGAAACATGCTTCAGTCCCCGCGTTGTTTTCTCACCTGTCATGTCAACAGACGGCAGGAGTCGCAGGAAGACGGGTCGTGCATAGGAGGGGAGGGCGCTTTGTACAGCCATCCAGAACGCATCGAGGTCAAAATTCCATCCTGTGTGAGCTATGGCTGCCATGCCAGCCTTTCCCTCTACACCTACACACATACAGACACAACGTCAGCTGAGACACATGATGCTTTACAACACAGCAATGCTTTTTTTTTTTCTTTTTTGTTGCACTTGTGTCTTTGATTTGTATGATATTTCCATCTAAACTGTCTCAAATCCCCTGTACCTGGTACTGACACGCCATAGACGGCTACATCACTGTGTCCCAACAAGCGACTGAGGACTCCCTCCACCTCTGTGGTGGAAACGTTCTCCCCTCGCCAACGAAACGTGTCACCGCTGCGGTCCTTGAAATACATGTAGCCATATTCATCCATCACCAGCAGATCGCCTGATGAGAGAGAATGAAGTCAAATCAGTCACTAGCAACAATCACATCATTTAAACAGAGGCTAATGATGCTTAATCCTTTCTCCTGATATGACCCCTGTCATCCATCCCGGTGTGTCTTTCAGGCATTTTTTGCACTTTTATGTGCTCTAACATGCAAAGACTGGATGATTTTTTTCTTTAAAGAAACATGGATCAGGAAAAGATGAAAAAGCAGAAAAAATTATCAAAGCAGCAGCAACAAGCTGCTATCATTGCTCCAGATTAAGTTTGTCCCTGTTCCAGTTAATATATGATGATACAGATTTAATTGTATCATCCAATAATGTCTACTATAAATATAAGATCATAGTATAAATTCAAATTGTGACCAAACTGTTTTGTGCATTTTCTAAAGTTCTGTAAATTACGATATTGTCTTCTTTATCATTTGTTTGCTCAAATTGAATGTCCCTCATGTCCAAACTGTGTCTCTGTCTGACACTGCTGAAGTCTGTCTGATCATAAAGTGGGTGTTTAGAGCAAGTTCGGGCAATTTGTAATCCAACCTTACTCTGCTTGATGTTGTAGTGTAAACATTGCAACGCGGAAAATCCAAACCCAGACATGATTATAATATTAAAGAGACAGAGTAAAACATACCTGAAATGTAGGCAGAGTCTCCCATCTTAAACACATTGTGAGCTATTTTCTCATTAGTTGAGTCCTTATCAGCATAACCATCAAATCTCCGGAGAGGATCGGAGTCGTTGATACATCCCACTAACATTCCTGGCTCCCCTGCAGAGACAGACCTTTGTTATTGTCTGAGACGTGCTTTTACCCTGTTGTGGCTCTATCTGTGTATGTGTGTGATGTTACCAGGCAGACAGGGTATGCAGAGTCCCTGGGAATCCCTGAGCAGCTCTTTGTGATCCTCCTTTACCTTGACAAGTCTGATGGGGTAAAAGCTGGACATGATACGACAACTAAAGCCACAAGATCCCACCTGGATGCACAAACATAGGAGTGTTATTTCATTTCATTTCATCCTTCATCTCCTTAGGAGTCAAAACAAGTTTAATGAAAAACGTACTTTCCCATCAATGTTGATGAGGCTGCAGTTGCATTCAGTTGCGCCATAAAATTCGCCAACTTTTTTTATTCTGAATCGCTGGACAAACTCCTCCCACACAGCGGGACGGAGGCCATTGCCGATAGCAACTCGGACCTGGTGATGCGTCTCAGATGAGCCAACAGGCTGGGCCAAAAGAAAACGGCAGATCTCACCGATGTACTGGATCACCTGGAGATTTACACACAAATCTACGTACTTGTCTGAAGAGGAATAGACAGGATTTCTGGCACCAGACTTATGGCGACTGCGTGTGCTTACTGTGCATTTGTGTTTAACGCAGTCGTCCCAAAAACGTGTGGCTGAGAACTTCCTCCTGATTACAACGGTGGCACCAAAGAGCAAACACTGTCCCACACCCATGATGGCGCCTGTGACCGCCCGCGTGCGTATAACAAGTGCAACATGTAAGACAAAAGACACACACCGTGATTATGGCCATCAGATGAGGGTGAATGCAAATGAGACTGACAACCATCAAAGACATGTAGGATTATTACAAATGAATCATGTTTTAAAATACAAGAAATGCACCAACCAACCATAACCATGACCACCTACATAATATATATAGGGTTGCTGTTAAAACTGCTCTGACCAGTCTGAATGTGGTCAAAGAGCATCTGAAGGTGTCCTGGCTTGCCTTGCAAGAGGATCTCTGCAAAGAATCCTTCTGGCCTTGTAGGTTATTGAGATGTTCTTCACATTATTGACCTGAGGCCTTACTTCTCCTACATACCATTAGCTCCCATTAGACTGGTATCTGGAGAGTTTAGAGGAGTTCAGAGGAGCAGTCAATGCTCCTTGACCTGCTATTTAGTCCTTAACAAGGTATTTTTGTAAAGCTCCAAGCCGTCCCTCTAAGGAGAGTTGCTTAGAAGTGATGCTGGCACTGGTGAGCGTGCCACGTGAGTACCAGCATGCAAAATTGTGTTGCATCAAGAAGACGATTGTTGCTCACTTTTCTTGTGGTCATCATGTTATGACTGATCTGTGTATTTCAAATAGAGCAATACCTACCAGCAGAATGATAGAGGGGAAGGCAGGTGTAGACAATGTCATCACGCCGCACACCAAAAGCGTGGAAAACAGAGGTGGCGATGCGGAAGTACCTGCCAAATGAGATGGAACAAACTGAGTGTTGTTATGTTCCAGCTGACTTTAAAAGTAAAATGGAGGTATGATGACTTGTGGTGACATGTTAGTAAGTAATATCATGCTGTTGTTGGGCAAACTGCTATATCTAGCTTTCCACTGTTGTGTATCATTTCCATAAAGTTCATTCATAAACTCAGTCACTGGTTCATTTGCGAGGGTGAACTCACCGGCTGTGAACTATGACAGCTGCCTTTGGCATTCCCGTTGTGCCAGAGGTGTAAATGTAGAAAAGCCTGTCTGAATTGAAACAGTGGAGAAAGTTAGAAATTCTTTGTTTGACAGTGTTTCATTTGTGTGGTATGCACCATGGGTCCCCCATCACTCCTCAACACGAGAGGCTGAGCGAGCAAAGACTTGAAAAAGTATCCACATAGGAATGTGATGTCATAACGCTGAAAGCAAAAATAGTGGGCCGCACAACTCGATAAAGTCGCAAATCTAGTGTATTGTGGGAACTAGGTGAATCAAACAAAGCCTTTAATGACATTCATACGTTCTTTGTCTGTTTCAAAAGCAATACCCTGCCGAATCATCCTGTCTCTCTCTTATTTTCTGTTGATTTGTTACACACTGCTCTGGGTGTGTGTCTTGGTGTGCATGTGCTGTGAATAGCCCAAATGCTGTGAGAGGACCAGAGTGAATCTGGCAAATACTTATTTTCTGTGGCAGGCAAAGACTTGCAAAGTGTTGCAATTGCGTCTTTGCAAAACATGACAGAAGAATGTTGTATATCTTTTACAAGGTGTTACCAAACCATGCACACACACACACACACGCACACAACGATAACCGTGCAGAGCTGTACCGTGAAATCCTTTTTTAAGTCTGTAGAGCGGTGGATGTGTGGGGGAACCGGTCAGCAGGGCGTCCAAACTCTGAACTTTGAAGTTACAGTGCTTCTCCTCCTGCTCCTCGCCGGCTCTGAACAAAACAGTGCCGGGCTGCAGGGAGCCAGCCACTTCTGACACCGCTGAGGGGGGGGGGATGCATCACAGATGAAAAAGAGAGCGAAAGTAATAAATTCTACTGTTAACCGCGTTCCCTGATGAGAATCTTTCAGTAAAAATGCACACGAATTTTATCAGATCGTGATGTTAGACATCAAGTTTCTCCTGCAACTACAGATGTTCAAACCTTTAGTCATTTCAGCTCCAAAAACCATGGTATGAGCTCGACAGGAACTGATGCAGTGCAGCAGAGATTGTTGTCGGAGGTTGTGGTTAATGAGCGCAGCCTCTACTCCTATCATAGCCAGTCCCAACCACAAAGCCACTACTAAAGGCTGGTTTTCCATATACAAAGCAACGACATCCCCCTCGGCCCAACCTTGTGCCAGAGCCCAGTGGGCCACAGCATGGCACCGCTCCTGCAGACCCCTAAAAGTCCAAACCTGGGAGGGGGAAAAAAGCAAAAACTTTCAGTTTCTTCATCTTTCATTTTTTAAATCTTTTTGCATGTGCCAGTGCTCTGGGTTGGTCACTTGTTTGTAACATTCTCACCTCCCCTGTAGCCTCATAGATAAAAGCAGGTTTATCAGGATGCATCTTCACAGTTTCGGCAAACAAGGCAGGGATTGTGCTCCTATTTCGCACATTACGATACATGGAGAGCCTCAATCGCACAATAATAGCCAGAAGTCTATTGGAAAGAAATGAGTGGCAGGGGAAGAAAAAAGAACGAAACCTGTAAAGTGACAATCGATTTCAAATGGGACATAGCAATAGAGACATATGTGAACTTGCATACGTCAAGTCTCTCTTGATGGTGAGCAGAACAATAATAATATTCATCCAGGATCCCGTCCAGACCATGAAGACTCCCAGCCCTGCCAACAGGCTGTAAAACCAAGGAAGGGAGGGCAACAAGATCGCTCCAAAAGCAACCAGGCTCAGAAAGACAACACTCGTCAGATTCATTATCTGCGGAGGTATAAAAAGTTACCTCGTGCACAAGGTGAGTCAAAAGAAACACATTTTAAGAGAGCTCATGCTTACCTTGAAATTGCAATAATGGTCCACTCCGAATAGAAACATGCAAGAGTCCTGAAGAGTTCTGTCACAACTCTTAAATCCCAGTGTCAGCAGAGGCAACTCAGAGCAGATGTTTACAGAGCAGCTGTCAGAGGTTAAATGGCTGATGAGGAAGAGACAGCACTGCAGGTTATAACACGGCTCCTTCTTCACAGAAGAAGTCTGATTCATTGCCCCCAGAAGCCAAAAAATGCTGATTGATAACACTATACACAACACCACGTAAAATGAACAAAAACAGACCTCTGAGCTACAAAAAAGACCCATTAGTAATCAGTCCAGGGATAATCATTGATGTTCAAAATGAAAAACAAATGGTGCATACTTCCCTGCAAGATTAACTTTTATTTTTAAGGATTTTAAATCAACAGAAATTTCTTGGAGATAATTGAATAAACATAGTCTCACAATTTTACCAAATCATCTCATTTTACCTTTTGTCTCAAAATCTTAAAATCAAATGGAAAAAAAATCTACAGTTTTCTCAGAAAGGAAATTACATGGAGTTTGAATTTGTAAACATGGGTTCTCCTCAGGTACTTCGGCTTTCTCTCACAGTCCAAAAACAGGGATAGGCTCCAGCCCGCCCACAACCCTGCTAGGAATAAGTCTTATAGGTAATGGATGGATGCAAATGGATGGAAATTATATAGCTGAGCTAGTTTTCTCTTGAAAAAATCACAACAAGTTTTCACTTGTTGAACACTTTCTGCTTCTGGTAGGAAGTTTCGTTTGTATCTGAACGAACCTCAAACTGATAACTCTTTTTTTAAAACATGATGCTCATGGTTCTAGAAATACACTATACTGAATGGGTATGAGAATCTTGTATGAGTTGACAGAGACAAGTCTAAATGAGTTTTCTGACAATATAATTGATATTTTATTGGTAATTGACTGGCATGAATTTTTCACTTAAGTTTTACTCATTTTATGCATTTCATATAATTTACTGCATATTATTATATGGCATCTTTTGGATGTTACTTGGGGTACAGCCTTCCACGGAGATGTAATACATTGTTTTGCAGAACTCTGCATGTCAGCAGTACATAAAAAGTCATTATTCTCATATGTCAGACAGAAAAGAATGAGACCTTTTTGATAGGATGTACACTTCATCTGATAAATAAATCAAACTATAGGAAAAGACTCTCCACTAAACCTTGAATGATTTATCTTAATGAACACTTAAATAAAGACACTTTTTTTTAAACTAAAGGCTTTAATATATTTTTTGGTAAATATTCTTTCAAGGAAAAACAGTACCAAATAGTATACAACAAGACAGAGTAAAAAAAACTATATATAGCTTGTATTTTCTAATAACAAAGATTCTTACATTCACAAAAAGCAGCAAAATGTATTTTGCTTTTTCACATAAAAAAAACATATTTAGCCATTCATGAATAAGAGGTTTTGATGATCGTAGAGTAAAAAAAAAAAAAGGATTCAAAACTGCAGTCCCACTTATTCACCACTGAACAGTTTAGCTTTTACAACCAAGTCATGTGTGACTTTCTTCTGGACTTATAATCTCAACAAATGAAAACAAACCAGTTAGAAAATAATAATAAATAAAGTTGCACGATAACAATGAAAATAATAAACATCTTTGGGCTATTTTTTTTCAATTTTTGATCGATTTCTATAAATCTAGAAATGTAAATGTAAAGTAAACTATTCAGATGCTGTAAGTGAGGCTGCGTCAAGTCTTCTTACTGTGTAAGTGAACGTGCTGATCATCATCTATACAAAAGTGCAATAAAATAAACCAACTCAGGCCTGGACAGATGCCATCATCAGTGAAGCTCATTTCAGGGAAATGTGCAGAGGCACAGGAAAACAGCTATATTAAGAACACAGTAAAAAAACAGACATTTCTTCAGTAAGCACAGTTTGATAGCAGGAAGCTGCAGGCTTATCGGAAGGGTGGAGCTGCTTTTGATGATTGCCCCAACACTTATTTTGTCCCAGATTTGTTTGTTCGGTACAGTTTCAGGAACAATAATGAAAACAACTCCCAAACACGAGTCAATAATAGAGCACAGCTCAATTACTGACCAAGACACTTTAAGGTTAGCCACAAGTGATACAAAAAGGCACTTATTTTGTTTCAAATTGAAGCAATAGCAGAAATTAGGGAAGAAACTAGTTTTCATCCTCTTTCCTGTTATGACATACTGGGAAATGCAGTACGTGCATACATAAACTATTCCAAAAGCATACCCAACCTTCATTTAAATCTGCTTTCATGGAAAACAGTGCAGAAACTAATTGCTCGTGCTAACATGCATGTCGATGCTACTGTCTGCACTTTGGAATAAATACATCACCCCTCTGGAAGAAATACAGCTTATGTCATGATCGTGATATGTTCTGAAGGAATTGATGAGCTACTTGTGTTGTTTTATTTTCTCTCAAAAGGCTCCTGAATAAACACCCGGCTTGTTTATGCCACAGGGAGGGCTACAGAAATGTTAAACTTGACCTATAATACACCTAATGGCTGTATAAACAGATTTAACAGATTGAATCTGGTGGTCTTTCAAACGCAAATAACAAAAATTTGGTCGCATCAACGCAATAAAAATGTGGAAAGCCCTAATATTTATCAAAGAGAAATGATGCCTTCAGTACCTTAGAGTTAAAAGAAAGTTGGATTATCTTTCAGTTTTGAGGTAAAACTCTCCCATTCAAAAATATTTAAGTGCACATTTAGTTGTCCAACGTGACTATGAAATTTGTCGGATGCATTATTCTAGCTATTAAGATTTTAAAGTAATTAACACGTGGCTACTAAGACAACAAATCAATTGAGTAGGCTCATTTTTTAATAGAGTTCTATACAAAATGGCTTCCAGCAACAACAGGAGCCGCCCCCTGCTTGCCATAAGATAGACTGCAAGGTTACTAACTGCAAATTCAAGTCAGTAACCTTAAATTTAACCAAACTGCAAGCTGACAAATCGCTACAAAAAAGCAACAATGTCTATTTATGTGACCACCCATGAGTGGGTGCAAAAAGAGCAAGTTGAAAAAAAAAAAATCACAGATTTAAAGAAACATGTAGAGACTAACACATGGGTGTTGAAATAAATATTCTTTTTCTGAACAGAATCCAACGTTTAGCCAACACAGGCCACAAAATTGATCGTTTGTCTCTAAGGGAGTCAAACAGGCAGGAGTCTTCATATTTGGGATTCTCCTGTGTGCTGCCCACTCCGAGTACCCTGAAGGGAGAAAAAAAACACATTGTGAGGAGCACATTTGTTACTCAAGCTCAGGTAGCAAAAAGGAAATGTTTTGAATAAACACAGTCTCTAGTGAGATTATCATGGAATCTCACAATGATCCACCAGTCGTGGTATTGCAATCATCTTTCTCCTAAGAGCAAAATCACAAGACCACTCGTGGCTGTGCTTATCGTCACATTTCAAATAATCTATTCAAAACGTTCTGTGATGTTATTCATTTTAACAATGTGACAAGCATTTCAAAATTTCCTGCATGCATTCATATGTGGTTTAACTGTACCTCATTTCAAAAGTAACTGCAGCTTATGAGTTGGAAATCTGGCGTCCTATAACAAATCAGATTATCAAATGTTGGTCTGACTTTATAGAATGAACACGGTTATCACACTGATGTATATTCATTCACAGAAGCAGCAGGATGATACTTTATTTCTGGACATGAGTTCATAATGTCAGACTGTTTAGTAAATAAAAGTACAATCAGTCTGTGAACTTGAAGACTTATTGAAATTCATCCTCTCTTAATGCATAAGCTTTTTTTTATCTTAGTCTATTGTTTTCCATTTACATACGCCTGAGTTTAAGGTTTAAGTTGTAAATCTACAATATGCTTAAGAGGTGTAATGTTTCCAAGTCATTGTCCAGAATGTCTGATAATCAGCATGCTGGCCATGATAAACACATGTGAATATCAGGGAGTTAAATAAGGTTTGTTCACTTTAAAACAAAACTGCAAATTCTGAAAACTACCTATTGCTCCACCTTTCGCTGTGTTTTTTTCTCACAATCGTTGTACCGTCTCCTCGTTAATCACCCCCATGACTCTCTGCAGCTGCAGAATAAATTAGATTACGGTGGATTGCAGATATTTCTGTCTGGCTCTGCACTGTCAGTTTTCAATTTTTCCACGGTCGTATTATCTTTTATGAAGCTGTTTGTGACTTCAAGGGAAAAATTAATGGCGCTTGAGATCTGGCAGCACTGGCCAATATCAACATTCAGTAGGCGAACGTCTGCAAATAAGAAAGTATTCGGTTGTATGGTGGGAGAGACTGAGGTTTAAATGGAGAAACTGGGGAGTAAATCAATAGAGGCACCACAGTTGTGACAACAACACAGTCAGTCAGACAAATACTCTTGTATTTTTTGGTTGTTTTACATTAGTATTATCTTACAGTGTGCACACACTTGGCAAAAAGGGCTTCTTGCTCAGTTTTTATGAGGTTGCCCTTTCAGTCTTTTTTTATTCTGTTAGTTCTCTCTAACTGTATGCTGGTGCAATCACTTACAGTCAATCGGTTTGTTTTGGCTCGATACCTTCACAGGCTAAACTACAGGCAACAAAAAGGGATTCTTTATCGTTCTCTGCCATTGATGAGCTCACAAATATTTCACATATATTTGAATATGCAGCTTTTACTTGTGATACTCTTCAGTACTTTTAAGTTTCAAATTAGGAAATAATTATATCATCCGCCCTCTATGGAGAAAACGTATGTGTAACGATCCAGGACTGTGGTGAATGTGCTTCGTTTCAACACGTGCGCTTTTATCAAAGAGCGAAAACAATACTCACTTGTGACTGACTGCTGGAGGGATTGGTGCTGCTGAAGTCTGAGTATCTCTTCTTTTGCGGCGTGCAGACGCACGACAGGAAATGAGCGTACTCCTCTCTCACCTGCAGATGGCAGCACAACATCAGCAACATGATCAGATTTTCCCGCTCGGCCGGTGCTATTTGTTTTCCCTGTCTCTCCACTTTTCAATCAATTTCCTTAAAAAAAACATGTCTGCATTACTGTTAAACTTTGTCAAGTGTTCGCGGGAAACTTCCCACTGCCCACAGACCCTACCTGCTTGGACAACAGGCAGTGCATGAAGAAGACCAGAGCGCCCTGCAGGCTGTTGAGAATAGTGAAAATGTATTCCACGGCAGTCAGGCCGCTTTGAAACAGGAAGGCTCCAAACACCCACATCAGCCCCAGCACGCACATCTGGGCTATGGCGGTCACTGTGAAAGCTCTGCGGGGTAGAACGGCAGAAGACAGGATTTTGTGAGATTACACACGAACCGCTCAGATTGCACGGACAGGAAACATGCTATAAAGTTAGTCAGTTAAAAAGTTAAAAGGTAAATGTGAGCCATACGAATAAAAGATAAGAATAACGGGTGGAATTACACCAGTGGTAAACACGTGAACTACACAAGCCTTTTGAGGAACTCTTTGAGGGGGTTTCCTTTTTATTTCTATTGACATGGGCGTGAGAGGTTACGTGAGACTAAAGTATCCAACTTACTAAATGGGAAGCCTTTTGCACAATTTCAAACATTCAGAAACCTTGTGTTTACAGAGTTTAGCACTGAATGGGTCTTTCTTCAACAGATTCAATTTCTCACTTTATTGCATTTTGAATAAGAAGCTCACGATCAGAATTCGGCGGACTAAACCCGGATGGATGAGCCGGGGGGCTTCCCAGGATGGATACTTTTGAAGTCAGATATATTGTGCAGCCGTAAACCTTTACTGAGTGTCTACCATGGAGTAGTAAAATCGGGAGGAAACGTCCTTCGGTAGTTGCTCATTAGAAAGCAGAGCCAGTTTTATAAAAACATCCCCTCCATATTTTTCCACTGCATTCTTTCCAGAAGATCTTTTCTCCTTCAACAATCACCTACACTAAATCAAGTGTAGTAGAGGAGAAGGTGGGTTACTTCCCGCATTACAACAGCAGGCACACACTGTTCCACGTGCTAGCATTGGCGAAAAAGGCAGACTGACTTGATTTTGTGCAGCTTGGAGAGGTCTGGGTTCAAGCTGGTGAACTTCTGGGCCAGTTTCCAGACGGTGATGATGAAGAAAAAGACGTTGAGGACGATAATGAAGCACACGGGGCCGAAGAAGCTCCAGATGAGGCCGTCGCTCTGGGACAGCCAGCAGCTATGTTTGAGAGGAGGAAATGTTTACCTCACTGATCTTGATAACAGCGTAATGTAATTGTGTAATCCGCTGATGTCATGACCATGACACAATCGAGCGTGTCGACACGCTCACGCAAAGCTACACAAAAGGATGAGTTTTTCCTCCCTTCGCCCACTTACTGATGCTCAGTGCCGTATCCGTTGGGTCTGATGAGAGCGGAGATAATGACGATGGCAAGGGGCGCCCCGTATCCGGTGACGTACAGGTAGAGGGGTCGAATGGTGGCGTTGAACACCAGGACAACCATGCGGTACAGCTGCACCCCTTCCAACAGCATCCAGTGGAAAACGCCCAGGAAGGAGAAATGGAGCATCGCTGCCACAAACCTGCAGCCACCCTGTAATGTCAGCAGAAAATAAGGAGAGCTGGTGATGATCAAATAGAGAAGTAAAGATTCAAGTGAATTGACTTTGCTGAATGAAAAAGGAGAAGAAAAAGCCCGTGTTGCGTGAACACGTCGAGAGGTGTCATACTGGAAGAGCCAGTTTCCCTAAATCTTTAAACACAGAAGTTTTTTTTTTAACAAGATTAATTTCGTTTGAGGTCGGGTTCCGTTTTAAAAGCTTGCCACAGATTTTACATTACTTTTTGTCTCCTGACTACCTGAGATATATGAAACCTGATAAATACCGGCCTGAGCTTTGGCTTTAACTGAGAGGTAGTTATATTGTGTTCTGACATTCAGACGGGGGTCCAAATGAGGCTGAAGAAAACCAGATGGGCCGTTGAACCATAACAGAAACATGAGTTTAAGATTAGCTAACATGACCTAAAACCTACTGCATCATGTTTAAATGTGTTAAACACGTGAGAATGTGACATGACGCTGTTAGTTTTTTATGCCCAATTTGTAACCCCAAAAAGCCTCAAATTGACCACAGTGTATAAATAAATCAGCAGTGAGTCTCTGAGTTGTAAAAAAAAAAGAAAAAAGGAGGGGATGAACATTTTCTTTTCAAAAGGCCCAGCAGTACTGAAAACCTGCAGCTTAAATGTCAAACATGTTGCTTTTTTAAGCCTTTTAGCAATACAAACATACTGAAACAACTCCAGTCGCAGTGTAGTGGAAAATGATAACAGAAACTAATGATGTCCTGGCTTTGTACAAACATTCTTTGTTTGCATTCAACTTTCTTATTTAGTCTTCCAGATTTCCTTTAAAAGATGCCTGTAAGTACACAATATTTCTGTTTTTTCAGTGCACTTTTTTCAGTGTCCTTCCTTGCAATTCCGGGAATGTAAGACCACAATGAGTAGCACAAATTAAGCTGTGCTCCTCATAATTTCATGTTCTTTGTCGAGATCAGTTAAGTGCTCTAACTGAGTACCAATTTCTGTCGAGCATACCTCAGGTTTGGTTTGAGAGATTCCAACCAGGAAGATGAGGTCAGCCACGAACAGGCAGATGCAGAGATGTAAGTGGATGGTGTTGCGGGTTCCTTGTATGGAGCGGCAGAACTTAAATGTCAGAATGCTCAGTATAAGACAAAGAAGGGAGATAATCAGTCCAATCTTGGTCACCACCAGCAGTCCAAAGTTGGGCTGAAAGAGAAAATATCAAAGGTCCAGATGACATTTTCCTCATAAATGACAGAAAACAAGATGTGGTTTTAAACATCCCTGTGTCTTTTTTTTGTTCTTTTTATATATGATCATCAACAAGTTACCAGCCAGTAGACAGCTCAGGGTATTTTCATCAAATTAGTTTATTTTATTATTATAGTAAATTCTCTTAGCATCAACCATTCCAAGCATAGAATAACAGGCTTTGAAACATAAATAATCCCCCTAAAAGCCTTTAAAGGTCTGTTAAAGGTCTGTAACTGATGTAAAGTAGATCTTTGATCCACCTCGGGGCCCAAAGAGAAGAAGTTTTTGCTGAGGCGCCGACTGTCGTGTTTTTCGGACTAAATGCCTCAGTGGCCAGACCCTTTAATTAGCTTTTCCATTTCGGTCTGTGCACATGGTACTTACCTCCATGGGATAAAGAGCCATGAGCACAGCAAAGCTGCTCAGATGCGTGCACGTGCACACGGTGTGTGTGGCGTTGGAGTACTGCTGATGGCAACCATCTGTGGACCAGGCTCCTTTCTCGTTCCAGTACGCGCAGATGTAGCTCAGCTCCGGGGACTCCTTCATATCCTGATACACCAAGACAACCAAGACCGTCTGTGTACTTTGTTTGTGACTTTATGCAATATTAAAAACAGTTTAAAACGTCCCTAGAAAAGAGTCTCCAAAGCTGAATTAAAGTCTCAATTAGAGACAGGAGTTTCCTTCTTTTGCATTTAAGATCTGAGAAGGTTGTTTCGTAGTCTTAATGTTTTATTTAAATGTCTCTTGACTTTTTCTGCTTTACAGAAGAAGCAGACCAGTACCTGCAGATGTCTGAAGGTGATGTTGACGTGGTGCTTCAGGCTGTGGGTGGATGGGTTGGAAACCACGACGGAAACAACTTTGGAAAAGATCTGGAAAGACGCACTGTCGTTTCTGTCCTGTTTGAGTTCCTCAAAAGATCTGTTCACAGATCCCTCCAGGTTCTTGTAGCTCAACAAAGCGGCCAGAGCAAAACCTGTTTTAAAGAAAAGCCTGTTAGGATCATGTAACTGAAAAACCTAGTATTCCTTCCTCTTTGAAGCAGGACTTGTGTTTACCCGGGTAGGGTCCGGTCCCTGCTGCTGTGCTCCAGTCAGTGCTGAGGGTGGCGTTTTCATTTGACAAATGGAGCGGACCGGTTGGGAGGGTTTTTCCTCTCCGAACAGCAATCTGGGCATCTGTTTTACGCAAAATGTGCAATAATCTTAGTTCCTCATTGCTCGCAACCTCGTTCAGATGCAGAAGTCAGAGCAGAGCTTATAGTTTCAAACCTGTCTCCGAGCTCTCAATCCTTGTCGTGTTGCGTTTGAGCTGAGGGCCGATCAGTAAAATAGACTTTTCCACAGTGCCAAGCAACCCACTCACGCCTTCACTGTGGTCCAGAGGTCCTGGGGACAGAATTGAATCTGTCGCAGTGAGAAGTTTCTGTCCAAGAAGTAAAACACAGAAGAAGGGTTGTAAATTACAAGTATTATTCGGTTTTAATACAACCATTGTCCTCACATTGACAGCACAGATGGTTTCATCTGGAATTCAACATGTTTTCTGTGTTTGATGACCAGTGTAAAACCCCCAAAATTCAAACTTTTATTTCAAATCTTCAGTCGAAGCTGACAAGAACAAAACACTAAATTCTGCATTTGGATTGGCTTTGTCACACAGTTTTCAGAAAGAAAAAAATACATTAGCACGTATTTACATTTACATGTAAACCTTCACATGTATAAATAAACCACTTTGGGGGTTTAGGCTTTTGGTTGAGTTGCCGCTTTATTTGCATGTGGTGTCAGGGTGTGTTTGGGCTTTGTATCTTTTCCTGACCTCTAACAGAGCCTCTCCTTCAGCATTTCCTTCACCAGAAGCGCTGGGGTTGGACAGAGCCAAGCAGCTGTTTCTCATCATGGCCAATATGCCTTCCAGACCTCCGAGTGACTGGGAAACAGACACAGGACATAAAGAGACTGCTCTACTTCCTATCGACCAAAGCACATAAATATCTTAAAGACCTTAAAGAGCTATTGCTTGGATAGGTAAATTAAGAAAATCATCAGAAATGTGCTTACAGGAAACTGGACATGGGATCTTTAGAATAACGTTAGCTTTATTATCCTTAATATGCTTTCTTGACCTAGTCTTAAAGGCGATTGCTCCAGTCTTTGCATTTTGCTGAGTCCTCACCTTTGCAGGCCTCCTGGCACCGCTGAAGCTCTCACATTTGAGCTCTGGATAAAACAGAGAAAATATATCACTTTGTCAAGTGTTACATTAATTTGAAGCAGAGAGAAGTGTGGTGCATCATGTGAGGCACCACATGCCACCGGGATTAGATTAGTCAGCAAAAAAACTACATTACAGCTTTGCAGAGCATTTATACCAAAGATTAAGCCAAAAAATAAAAGTTACACGTCATATAAGGAAGTCTGAAATTATCATAAATGAAAATAAAATGACAGTGAAAATGACAGTCAAAAACTGCATTCAATGGGGGATGAATATACGTAAAAGAAACGGCTTGTATGTCCGACAATAATATAATATAATATAATATAATATAATATAATATAATATAATATAATATAATATAATATAATATAATATAATATAATATTAGTAATTATAGTTGCTTAATGTTAATCCCTATTTATTTCAATTTCTAATGTCTTTTATTGGTCTAATTACTTATTGTTTTTTTTTATGTGATTCTTTCACTAAGTTCTTTATCTGTTTTCTTAACATTTTTTTTTCTCTTTTTTTCTTTTATGTATCTCTGTAGCTTTGTTATGTAAACCGGTTCATTTTCAGAAGAACAGCCAACTTTGTTAAAATGCAGGGATAGAAGAGTACTGCCGTTCTGGTTTTCTGTGATGAGTAAAGGTGTACCCTTACCTGAACACGGGGTCCTTTCAATTCCATAACTGGTGTATCCTTCTGCACACTTGCACCAATAACTCCCCGGAGTGTTAACGCAAGTGCCCTTCTGTCCACAGATGAGTTCGTTTTTACTTTCGGCTACGTTGCATTCATCTATATCTGTGTAAGGAGACAAAGACACAGCCGATGAAAGATGTTCTTTGAAATGACTGATGAAAAGATTATTGACTGTCTGTCATTTCATGAGATGCATAATCATTACTGGAGGAAGTAGATTACTTTTTAGATTACGTATGCAATGGCAGAAATGTGAAGAAAGAAATATTGCACATACACTCGTTATGTCACATCTTTTTAGAACATTTTATTTCTGGGAGGTTTTGTGTGAAGTGAAACTATCCTGATGTTAAAAAATTGTTTATACATTGACCAAAAGTTCACTGATAGGGTTTTTTTTCTCTCTTCCACAATGCACCACGTCATTGTAGATATTCACTAAACACTAACATCTTTCTCTCCCTCCCTTGTCCTGAAACACTGAACCATAAATTGCACAGCTCTCGGGGGTTTGGTTCCCGAAGCCTTGCTCAATGCGATCGGGGGGTGTTTCATCTTTATGGTGGAGATTGCGGTGCAAGAATTTTAAAAACTAAATCTCCCCTGCTTGTCTTACTGTCAAGCCTTGTTTCAGTGTTTATCACAAAGATCTGGAGATACTGGCAGAAAGCTGTTAAATCTGTGTGTGCATAAGACAGAAGGTGCCGGATCTTCAAAAGGTGAAGAGGGCGCACTTAAGTAAACTTTTATTTTTACTTCCTGACTGCAACCTTCCAGCAGCCAAGAACTCTATTTCTTTTATATGCCTCTCTTTGTCTTTCAGTGCATTCCGTGTTTTACACAATCACAGAACATGACAAAAAATTGTTTCAACAGGAATTCATTCTGCTTATTTATGGCTTGTGAAACATCGCTGGTTATCTAAAAAGAACCTATTTTTTTTCTTTCCGGTGCACCTGAACTTTAACTCTCCTAGAATAAAGCCTCACTGCTTGAACTGAAAAATAAAGAAAACACACACACGAGTACAAAACATGTGAAAAGGATCGATACTCACCTACACAGTTGCTATCGCTGCTATTGGTCAGGACAAACCCAAGATTACATGTGCAGCTGTAATTTCCGATCATATTTGTGCATGTAGAGAACTGACCGCAGATTTCTTTGTCTTGTCTGCACTCATTAACATCTGACAGAGCAGGAAATGTAGACAAAGTTAGAGTAGACTCTGGATGTCAGTGGCCTCACACACAATAAAAAAGACACTTACCAACGCACTGTCCATCCACCACTGTGAAGTTCTCCATCCCTTTTGAATGGACGAACCCATTGAGGCACTTGCAAAAGAAACTTCCAGCTGTGTTGATGCATTCGGCATGTTTCCCGCATACGTTGACTGGATCCTCACACTCGTCTGCATCTACGTTTTTCGAAACAAGCGTGCTTTAGAGCTAAACGAGCAGTGCAATTCAACAGTTCCCGTGCAACTCTGAATCAAGTTGTGACCTTGGGGCACTGGTCTGAGCATTTCCGGAGCTGGAATGCTAACTGTAATGTTTTATCTGCCTTATAAGTCGCTTTGGATAAAAGCATCAGCTAATTCAACATAATATTAGTATAATATATTATTAATATTAATATGAACACAATAATAGCCATAAATGGCCATGTTAATGCATTTAATTAATCCATTTATTCAAAATGACTTAGTCACTGATAGATACTGTGTATGAAGGAGCTCTGATAGACAGAAACCAGATAATCTGCCCGAGGGCTGCTTAGTTCAGGTGCTTGGGGGGGCCCTGCATGTTATGAATATTTCTTTGCATTGTTTCAACTGGGTCATATTAAGGTTTTTGCAGACAGACATCACATTAGAATAAAGTGAATCGTTCCACACATACAGAACAATGTATACCTTAGTTGATAAACATGGAGGTAAACACTGAACTATCTAGTTTTTGGAGGTTTACTTTAGAAAGATGAGTAAAAACAAAATGATGAAGATATACCTGTACAATGTTCACTATTATCCGATCGTCCATTTTCACATCCAGAGACACATTTCCACATTATACATGCAAACCCTGTGGAGAAAGAAGGTAGATCTGTTTAACTTAAGTTTTCAATCATTAGAAAATTTAATGAAAACAAAACAAAACTGAATTTTTGGACCCATGGAACCATTATCCACTGGACAACTTAAACGGCTTTCAATTTAAGTTATTCAAACTGTAAAACTGAATGTCCTCTTTTCGATTCCCTACCCAAAAATACTGTACAGAAAGCTGTTTAATTTATTGGCCAAAATTTGATCAATAGATAGGTCCAAGTGTCCCACACTGGGATCAGAATTATCTATTTTTGAAAAACAACCCTGAGTCTGTGTGTCGGTACTTTGTATGCGGTTTACTTTCACTCCCACTTTTTTTCATTATTAGCAGAATTCTTTAATAATATCTTCCTCCTCGGCCTGTATTTGTAAAGTGTTCAATATTAGTTATAAAAACACATTCCTGCTTTACTTCCACCCACTCACAGCTTGTAATTGGAAATGTGCCCCATGACAGCCTTTATCTCATTCTTTTTAAGCTTATCAGCTTGCTACTGATTCAGGGGCCATTTTAAAGTGATGATGAGCTTTACAAAAACGTGCATTCCCACAAAAAGCTCATGTTTTTTTTTTGTTTTTTTTTCATTTTGTACATTGTAAAAACTCTCCAGTTTTGAAATCAGTTTATAATGTTACATTATTACATCCAACGGCTTCCATTTCAACACATGCTCATTCCAAACATGGCAACTCGATAAAGAACTCCTTCAAAATTACTTGTCAACACATGGGAACTGTGTTGAGACAGTCTCCCCTACAGATGCATTTTGCCTATTCACATCCAGCTGTGAGCGATTAGCAGTTGTCGCCACTGTTACTTTTGAAACTTTGCATAAACACTTTGACTGTTCCGATATGACGCTTTGGAGATTCCCCCTGCTCTCAAAAGTTACGCAACAGGCTGCAGGTCTCAGGAGGTAACTAGCAATTTGAATTGGCTTCTAAACTGATTATATATTTCAATTTACAAGAATGCAATGACTTTTTTTGCACTCCTTTTATTGCATTTTCAGAAATATCTTTTGTGGGTCTGTATGACTAGTTTTTGCTAACACCACTTCATTTCCCTCCCACCTCGGATTTATCCCCCGATCTTGCAGTCTGCCATGAGTAATGCACAAAAGCTATCTTGTCAGTCATCTATGCTATCTATATCTTACTTGGTAGCCATGTTTACACATTCAACAGTGAAAACATTAAGTAGTGTGGATTTTATCTCTCCCCCCCCCAGCCAAACTCAAGCTATGACACATTCAGCATACAAATAAATAAATTGTATCAAAACAGTTAGATTCCTATGACTAAGGAGTTGGTGAAATCGTAGAAAACAGCGCCCCGTCCACATGGTAGTTAACATTCCCGGAGCCTTCCGCTGGGTTTTCTTACTGTGGCCACAAAGAGCCCTCTGTTGTTTTGTGATGAGGCTGGACTCCCGCATTAACGCCTCAGGCAAACCAGACAGGGTTTGACAGTGGCAGTGAGTGTGAGAAACAGTGTGACTGGGACCAATTATATGAAGAAATGTCTGTGGATGGAAAAGAAAAAGGCCTGAATATCTTCAGAGAGTAACTCTTAGCACATCTCACAGGCTTCGGTCACCATGACGCAGATCACGCCGCCTGTTTCCTCTGCTTCACATTTCTTTTTAAACCATATGTCCCTCCTCTCTGATTTTATCTCTCTAGCTGTTGCATTATGTCAGGGCTGATTCTAGATAAAACCTCTCCCCCTGTAAAGTGACTGAGAAGTAATACCCACTGATCCACAGCTGGTCAAAATAGTTGTTTCAAAATGTTGGGAAATTTTGAGACCTCTGATCCCATGAATAGGTCATGCTTCAAATTCTACTTCTGTTTTTTTTTTTTCAGACAGTTTTGATATAACTGAGAATGATTTCATCTTACGAGTGTGTGTGTGCGTGCATGTGCGTGTGTGTGTGTTAGTTTCTGTTCTTGCTGCAAAATGCAGAGCTGATCTGACATCATATAGGTGACTATGGGGGTATTGTGTCTACATAACTTCAGACGGATTACATGAAGCATCACAGATGAGAAAGATGCAGGTATAGGAGTTTCCACAAAGATCCTTTTAGAGCAAAACAAAGGCTGGATTTGATAGCTGAAGTCTCATTCAGGGGAAATGCATGACATGACCAGCAGCATCTATATAAATATGGGAGTATGCACTCAGAGTGCTCAGAGATGAGTGTGTCTGCATGCTGATAAACATTACAGCTGATAACATCTGGTCTAATTTATTTTGCTTATAGTTGCAATAACTTAATAGATTAGCTTAGATCCACCCTCACTGAACATTAAGACCTCAGAAATATATGAGTTTTCACGTTTATCTTTGTTCCTCTCAAGTTCAAGTTCGTCGTCTTTTGCATTTGATTTCTTATATTTTATGTGGAATTTTTTGACAGCTAGTTTTTATCACTGGATGGAAGATATCTATATCTGGCTTTTGCCTCTTTGGCAAACTATTCAAAACATTTTAATAACGTTTTAACCATTTTAAACTATTTCAGATTGGAAAATACTAAAATGATTTACACAATATGCTTGATCAGAGACATTGAAATTGTAAGCTCACAACTAATGCAACATTTTGCGGTGTCATTTGTAATCTACAAGGACACCAGGAAATAGAAGGCCACCACTAAATTTAATCTCCCTTCCATCTGACTGACTGTTCACAAAAATATGTGAACCCAACGTCTTTTAAGAATTTACGCAATCTTGTCAGCGGCTATTGCAAAACACAGCGTTCTTAACCGAGCAGGTAAAACACTGAGCAACCCCTTTTAGCTTCTCCAGTGTGTGTTTCTGTCTACCCGTTTTGGCTTGATGAGTTATGGGAAGATAAGATCTCTTTTCCAGTCTGGCTGCTCACGAGTTGTATTCAATTGGCCGTGGCGACCAATTTTGTGAAGCCTATTGTAGAGATTATCTGATGCCGGCGCTGCCTGTGAAAATCCAATTTGGCCAAAAATACAATAATTGTGAGAGTGAGACACTGAGACTTTGAACTTAGCTTTATCTGAGGAATCCGAAAATACTTGAGATGTGATAACTGGGATGTGTGGTTCAAAAGTTATTTGCGTACCGAAGCGTACCGATTTTGAACCACTTACTGATTCTTAGGTGTTCATAGAGAAAATTTGAAACTGAAGCGGGTTTCCCTTATTATAAACCAACCTTCTAGATAATCAGCCAGGAAGCTGATTATCAACCTGCAGCGGATCTTAGACAAAATCCATCCTCAGATGGACCCAAAGACAGACGCCTGAGTCGATTCCACTTATGTCGGTATCAGCAGACACACATCGACCCACAAGGAGAAAATCTTTCATCAGCAGGAAATGTGTCTGTCAAAAGTTCTTTCTGTTCCACAATTACAGGTGGTTTACAAGAAACCACAGTCATGTCATGCTGTGTAAATATTGTGTGAGTTAATTCAGTCGTTAAAATCTTGCCGTAAATCTGTATTCACAGTTCTTTTTACAGTGTTACACCACAAAGAGTGATATGCTGCATATGCCTCATGAAGTTGTGTCAGCAAAGCATTTGGCAAAGCAACAAAAACAAGGTTTTTTAGCACTTCTGTCACAAGGAAACACGAACATTTTCGTTCGTCTGATTTTCGGGTCTGGTCCATCCATCCGATTTCCATCTGCCTCTGAACAGATAGGTGCCACCTCATTTCAAATGTTGGTTGACTTGCTCTTTCATTTACAAACCTCTCGCTAACTTCCTCTGTGTGTTCAAGAACACATTTTTAGAGATCAGCCACCGCTGAAAAGAAAGATAGTCTCCCCTATGTGAAACGTGATGAATGATCAAATGAATAAGTATCTTCTTCAGCCTGAAGTTTTTTTAACTATCCAGTTCAGTTTGCATGCGTTTGTGAAGCCAGTGATGCAGGACATCTAAACAATGGTATTATATAATGAATATAGTAATAACCTAGTCTTAACCACTTGTACCTCCAAACCTCGCTTTGGCTTGCCCATTCGCTCAAACCCAGCACAAGTGTTAAACAGTTTTATATTTATGGTTTGAGGTGTGAAGATCTTGGTTATTTCGTGTCAGCATTTCTCAAACCGTAAAACACATCCTGGCGGTTTGTTCTTACAGATTGGGATTCTGCTCTGGGCTCTCCAGACTGGTCAGCAAAAGAATACTTGATGGATGTGACAGAGGGTTCAGCTGCACAGTAGCCTCATTAACTTTACCCACAACCAATTACTGGAGGAATTGACAGCCAGACTGAACAATATTGGGGGGTTTTATGTTAGTGGTAATGGTTTAGAAGGTTGTGCTTATTACCATCCATCCATCCATTATCGTTACCCCTTATTCCCTAATGGGGCGCTTATTACCATTAGATTCAAATGATGGAGTTTTTGTTTAACTCTGTAATGATCCAAAATAAAAGATTTAAATATGTTTGACAGTTCTCCTATGACAAAAGTAATGGATTGCCTAAAATAAAGCAGTATTTGACAGAAGTGTATTTCCCAAATTTCCCCATGTCTTTGCTTTCTTTTTCTTTTTTGGCAATCCCCACACACCCTCTAAGTTACACACATACACTGCTCTCTCAAGATAGACTCACCCAGCATAAGCAGTTTCCTCCCAAACGACATGGTGTTCATAGTAAAAAAAGATGTCCCAAAAAGAAGATTGATTCAATTGGAATTGAAAAAGAAACTTTATATCCGCTCAAAAAAGTTGAAAAAACAAGTTAATTTTCGGTCCAATTTTTAGTCCACAGAGTCCATTGATATCCAGCGTGTTAGAGAAGAAAATCTGAACGAGATCCTTACAAAGATGTGTTTTTCTAAATGGGGATATTCACACACAAGGCAAGAGAAAGAGCTGTGAACCTTCACCGGCTTTCTTTCTTTCTTTGATTCAGTCTGGCTGTGAGCATGCCTCGCTCTCCCTCAGATTCTCCACCCCTTTTTGCTCTGCCTCTGTCTCTCCTCCCATGCACTAATCTTTATGGGTTTGTGTCACTCAGGCTGCTTTTTCCTCTTTTCTTTAGTACCGAATCCTTCATGGTGACCATGTTTCTCACACTAGCTCCGTATCACGTTGCTCATGGACACAAACCCCTGCTCTGTGTGCGCCATCTTTCACATTTCCCACTACACTTTAGTGGCCTCTATTTCAGGAGCTATTCACAACACTCCCATGAGAGACCAGAAAACAGGAGAGGGCGGGGGGGGGGGACTGAAGAGACAGTGATGACTAACGCTCACTCCTAGCAGCTGCTGCTGTACTTGAGTTGTGCCAGTAAGTAATCCTATATCCGCTTCCATTCTCCCCCTACTCCTCAGCATCTCCTCCCCCTTTTCCCTCCCCTCTCCCCGCTACTGCATTCGGCTCTGCAGTGGAAAACCCTCTGCATTTTCTCAACCCCCCAGACAGCAACAAAAGAGACTGGGAGACGGATGTTCAGCATGACCTCTGCTGGACCTCAGCAGTGTGATTTCAACAGAGAATAAATAAGTTTTCAAAAGCAGCTCCCAAAAGTGTTGAGTAATTCCGAAAGAAAATCGGTGCAGACGGCAGTGTTTTGTAAAAGGTTTAATCCCCTTGTTTAAAAATAGTTGTCAAATCCCGAAACTTCTGTTTCTGTGTGGTTGACCAAAAATTAAATTGGAAATGAGATGGTTAGAACAGAGGTGTAGATGCTGTGCTGCTGGGATGATTTATTGTCTGGACTTAAGAGCAGGAGATAAAACACAGAAAGAAGTTTCCCACCTTGATCATCATGGGAAATGTCAAATCGTAGGAGAATCAAATGGTCCAGCCTACAGCCATGACAAGCAGAATGTGCCAACATCAGGAAGGAAATGCTATTTGTGTCACTGTGACATAGTTGCAGAAACACTTCTGATTCCTAACTCAGCTCTTACAGCGTGTGGCCGACAAAGACCTCATGCAGAGAATCAACAATGAAGGAGGAGGGACTTCAGAGTTTGCTGACAACGGATCGTATAAATCTTTGTAGACTTGCCACTGAGAATGAGTATCTCTGCATCCCAGATGTTGAACGGTTGACTGGGATTTTTAAATGAACGCTATCTACAGTGAGTTCCTTTGTGTTAATCTGTGTGTGACATCATCCTCTAAGTTGTTGCCGAGCTACAAAAACACAACTTCAATCTGTTCACTGTGATCTCTGACGATTTCTGCCACACCTCTTTCTTGCACACTTCAACCTGCCAAAGGTTCGTCAACTCAGTTTTAGTTAGCTTTCAATGACAAGTACCTACTCATCCAAAACAATAATTCATGCAACAGCAGCAACCCTCGGGGATTAGTAACGTTTTATTGAGTCAAACTGGCATGTTCCTCTTTTTTCATGTCAGAAGGCAAAACGCCTCAGACTTTGTGGATTTAAATCAGTTTAGCAAGACTTTGGCTACTGTCATAAATGCAAGATTTTACAACTATATTACCAACTCAAATGCAGCATTTCTGCACAGACAATAATATAATGATACCATGATTTACTACAGCGGCACAAATCAAAAAAAGCAATTGACAAAATCAATCTAGTGTACAAAGTTCATTTAATTGAAAGATTAACTAAAAAAAACACTTTTTCCAAAACCAGAAAAATCTTATAAAAGCATTTGTAATATAAGATTTTGTCTTAAAATAATTCAAAACAGGACTGTGGTTTGGTAGCTATTTAGTGGCAAGACCATAACAAGAAGTTTGAATAAGGCTGAACTTTGTTTATCTGTTTCACCGGTTCCTTCAATTACTGGTTTGAGGTCAAGCCATTACCCTTCATAATCTTTGCTTTTATTTTATTTAGCAGATTGGTTTTAGGCTTGGTAACCGTGCAGACCTGTAAAGTTCTGATTGGACAATCACTGCTCAGCAGAAAAAAGGACATAAAATATGAAGTGACACCTGCTGCTACTTCCGGCAGATGTGTGATGCAACACTTTAAAAAAGAGCACAGAGACCTTTACAAATAAACGCAAGGAAACACGCTAAATAGCAGAGCGTGGTGAGTTGTCTGATAGGTGACACAGTTAACAGTTGCAGGTTTTTTATAATACTTCTAAGTGTGGAGAAGATCTCAGTTGCCATGGTTCCTGCAATGTGTCTAACAACAACCTCTCGTACAAAATGAAGGTTGGATTCTTAAGTTTGTGATGCAAATGATCGGTTGGTTGGTTGCTTCTCGTTTCCTGTTGCGCGCCATGGTTACCCACAGAGCTGTTTCCATGACAAGCTGCTCGTGTCTCTTTCACAAACACAGAGCTGTTTGACCTCTTTTCCCATCCTTTGGGCTCACGTCGTCTCTCTGTGACTTGGCTCTCTGAACTGACATATTGACTCTCTGGCATCGTTTTTCATCATATTAGCCCAGACAGAGGGCCAGACACAGGGAGACAAATGAATAGACACATGGAGACACATAAATTATTCGCACATGAGCGCAGAAGGAAGGATGAGTTTGTGTTGCCTCAGCATCTTCAGTAAACAAAAGGCTAAATGAAAGCAGACTCACTGGATGCGTTCGTGTGTGTATTCAGGCGGTACTGGTATGGATTGGTGGATTTGTTTGCTTAAATAGTGTCAGGTGGTGAAAACCAACTCAGCTGAAACATTTCTTTCAAAAAGCACTATTACTGACTTTTTACGATCCCATAAGAAAAGATCCGGGCAATTTGTGTTTCATTTTTTTCCTGCTTCATCAGAGCCTTCTTAGGTATAAACTGCTAAGTTTGTGGGAACAATAGTCTTTGTGAGATCCAGCTTCTGGTCCAAAGGAGGTAGGATATCATCATGGGGTCAGGTCTAGGCTAATTGATATTACATAATATAGATATAATGTTGAGGCTTTACACAACACATCCAAGTCCAATGACTTCTCAAAAAAAGCTGTATGTGTGTCGTGGGTGTGTGTGTGTGGGTGTGTACACTCGTGCACTGCGTTGGCTGCCGCTGAGCATTAATCCCACATGCATTTCGTTGACGTCTGCCCATTGTGACAGTCAGTCATCCAAATGGAGGAGGACTGTGGGAAAAATGTGACTCTTTCGGATGAAAAATGTTAACCATTAACGTGAAGAGAGGCTACTTTGAGGAAGATAAGTTGTTGACTTTCAGGGAACTTTCATTGCGTGATTTATGGTGTCCAGTCACCATCTTCCCATAATGACACCGAACAGTGTGTGGGGTAGATAAAAAAAAAAACAGCTGATAGGTCAGCTGACAGGTCAGCTCACTGCTGACCTATTTGCGTTCATGTACAGACAACTTTCTGAATTAGCCCACAGCCACATGCTTCTCAGAAGTGTGATGTCACTGAGGGCTTTTTACATCTGACCCGTGTGTACAAGATAAAACTCACAAAGCAGGACAAGAATACATCCATCCATCTATTTTCTATACCGCTTAATCCCAAATGGGATTGCGGGGGAACTGGAGCCTATTCCAGTATTCAACGGGCAATAGCCGGGTACGCCCTGGACCAGGTCACCAGTCTATCGCAGGGCCACACAGAGACAAAAACCACACACACTCACAATTATAGCAGGACAAGACTACATCTGTAGAATACCACAACAACACAGGAAGCACCTTGGTACTTCTGAGAAGCCAGTTATGGTTAAGAAGACTTGAGAACTAGAGAACATGCCACGAGAAAATACCAAAGAGAAAGCACACAAGAATTGAATTCATCAGAGCATTAATTCAGAAATGAAAGCATTCTTACAAACACAAATGGAGTTATTCAAATAATGTCTGTCAACAGGAATAATACGAAAGCAAAGCAGAACTGATAACAGATGCGGATAACACAAAACCATGAATTGACAGACACACACAGCAGCTTGGGTTTCTGGGCACATGACCAGCTAAAACTATTCTATTATTATACAAAACAAAGCATATAGCACTTAAGCTGCTCCCGCAGGCCTTTTGTTTAATGCAAAGCTTTTTGTTTAAATACTTAGTATGAATTTTTGTGGCCGTAGCAGAGCTGTCCAACTAACAGGACGTGTGTCAAGAGGTAATGAGTGAAAATGTAATTCCTCTTCTATAAGCCTTCTGTTTAATGATTGATTATGTGACATAACTAACTTATGAAATTATGAAAAATACCTTAATCATGAGGAAAATAAGTGTAGTGTCAGAGGAGGTTTATAGTACAGTATGTTCTTTAATCTCTTTAGTGTTGATCAAGTCTCATGGGCTAATTTCCTCATTTATCATAAAAGAAAGGAATATTGAATTTGTTTATGAGACAATTGTCCATTTAGCTCTGAATAGACCATTAAGCTTTGGATCTTGAAGACATTTGAGGAATTTGTTGAGGGAAATAGGCATTATTGGCTCCAAATTGTGATTCAAACCAAAAATGTAAGGTCTTTGGGGAAACCTCTGTCCCCAAATCTCTTAGACATCTTTTTTTGCAATAATATATTGCAATAATATTTCACTAATTCCATTCGTGTGACACCATCACCAAGCACAGAATCTAAACGTGCTCGTAAGTTGACATGGTACATCACAGTAACATGATTCATATTTTATTGATGTCATGACGCTGTAGACTGTTTTCTGTTTATTACATTTTTTTCTCAAACATAGGGAAGTGGGTCTCATGTCCAAAAACTACTTTGCGTAGGTTTGTATCAGATAGTTGTATCAATTTTCTTTCAGGCTTCCATGACAACTGCCCAAACGCATCATTTGTGGTTTTCCTGTGCGAAGTCAAAGAGAAGCATATAGGACAAAGTCAGCAACAGCGCAGTGGATCCAATCTTCTGTTGGTTATATAACTATTCTGAGTTTTTGTTTAATTCTATAACTAATTGTTGAATTTAAAAGCTCCGCTCCAGGAATTTTTTTCCTTTCAAAGCGAAACCTGGCTGAATCTCAAGAGAAGTTTGGAAGAGTCATCAGCTGTCAGGGTGCAGTCAAAGAATGGCCGTTAATGTAAATCTTTGCTGTTGAAAGCTAGGGTTGAAGGCCAGTCAGTGGGTCATGAGAGTTTGGAATCGGTTCAAAGGGAACACAGCCAGTCTGTCAATTCCCCAGCTGTGCATGAATTCAAAAAGAATAATTTGATCTTTCTTATTTACAAGCTCTACTCCAGGTTCAAAGCAGAATTCAAACTGCAGCACCGTTACGTCACGGTAGCATGGTGGAAAATTCAACCGCTATGATACAAACAGATGGTGGAATGTCGGTGCCCAGACCTGCTGGCACACACACTCCTAAAAGCAAGAATTTCCAGATGGAAATAGAGTGAATGGATTGCAATCGTGCACTCCTGCTTTCACGACATAGTATTTTATTTTCCACCGGTCCACCAGAGCAGCTGATGACACAGCCTGAAAACTGTCGACTCCCACTCACCTGTCACTTTGTCGTTAGTTATCTCACTTTCCGTATCGTAAATTCTAATTGTGTTCCAGTGTCAGCGTGAGACGGTTCCCTATTCTATTGTTTTATAAGTTTAAGTACCACGCCACTCAGAGAGCACTCGTTTAAGTTTTTTAATGGGCACCAAAAAGGAGTTTGTAAGTTTAACGTGTCGAAGAAAACGATGGAGTCTACGCGTTGCGAACTGACTGTGCAGATCATACTGTGAACTTCCCCCATGTCTTCTGCTTTTATACCCCATATTTTTACCAGAAGTGCAACTCAAGCTTTTTCCGAACCTCAAGCGGTTTGATGGTGGTGCCACATTCACCGAGACACATGCACGCAAATGGGTTTTTTTTTAACTGCGGTTGAGATTTTGAAAGGCTTTTCACCTTTAGCTACGTGTATATGAGTTTAGGAGGTGAATTTTTGATGCTGCACAGGAAGAACTGAGCGGTAACGAAAGCATCTGTACACTATGTGCGATCACCGTCTCAGTATTTGGTCTCAAATGAAGAAGTGAACGCTGTGATCACAGGACATCCTGACTCTGGTTTGTACACTTGGCGCCTTGCAAAATAAAGCAGAAGCTAAACTTGCTTGCTTGTTGTTTCCCTTTTTTTTTTAACTGTACACCAGATAAGGCTGGGTAATTCTGACCATGACTCTTACCACAAGCTGTTCCCACATGAAACCTACATACTTTCAAATAACTAAAAACAACAGCTTCCTTCCTTTACATTGCCAAATCTGTATCTGTTCCATCAAGTGAGATAGAGATCTATCTATTCCTTCTGTCAAAACAATTAAGGACTCCTAAAACATCATACAAGCCACTCTGCATATTTGCGGGATACTGACTTTTTTTTAGGAGCTTACTGTATCTCCTCAAATGGACGCTGAAGGCATTTACAGGTTTTTCACTGCTCTACTTTGTAGGGAGGCCTTCATTTTGATTATCAGTGTCTTGGAGTTGGTTATCTCCTCTCTAGAATTTGCAGTGGGTATATTAAAACAATGTAGCATTAACAGTGGATTGCAGAGAGAGACCAAAGAATGTGCCAGTTGGATAAACAAAGCCGGGAACGAGCTAACAAAATGTGAGCTGTGAGTATGCATATGGCTCACGTTAACTTCCTATACTGAGTCAAACTAAAATATTTGTTTTAAAGAAACTGAACAGCGTGATTTAAAGCAAAGCAATCAAACAGCCAGAACCTAGATTCTTCATATTTTGCTTGTGTACTATAAGGACTGCTGTTATTGGTATTCTCTGTTCTGGCTTAACAAGAGACCTGCTTCTAGATCTAATATTTACCACTATCACATATAAAAAGCTTTGTATGAAATGTTGCTCTGAACGAAACTGGATGAAATGGAGCTGGATTAACTGGGGACTGGATGCTCTGACATGACACGGTGCTGATCATTAAGGTGCGCTGTGGTTACAGTTTGCAGCTTGATTATTTCACTGACCCACTAACCAGGCACCAGTGAACGCACATGGGAGATTAATAATAGCTACGCTGTAAAGAGTGTGTGGAGGCCGGATTTGGGAGTCTGCTGGAATTGTAACACTGCTGCTGCTTTGGTGCCGGCTCAAAATGGTGATGTTTGTCTTTGCTGCTGAGATTTGAATTTCTCTCAGCACTTTGCTGTTTTAAACCCACCCTTCCCCTTGTGTTACTTTTCGTATCACAGGTGGTGCTTCTTAACCTGAACTCATAAATCCAACCAGGATGGCTTGTTTGAGAGTGAGTGTTTGATCTCTTGACATCAGTCATCATTATATGTCTCGCCGCTCATCCGAAAAGCTTCCTCAGTTCCGAAGGTCAAGCTCTCAGGATTAGTTTGGCCTGGAGACTGAGAATTTACACCAACGTGTGTGTGTGTGTGTGTGTGTGTGAGTGTGTGTGCATCTCTGTGTGTGCGATTCTCATACGTGGCTTATCATTTTTGGGGTCAGCTTGACAAAGATATGCCAAAAGAGACTTAAAGGAACTTTCTCATTTGAGAGGCCCTAATTCTCCAAGTCCCCCCACAACCCCATTAGGGCATAAGAGGATCGATGGATAATTCTCTAAGTCATATACGCCAGAAACTTCAGAAGGTTTTGTTTGGCCTGTCGTTCTTCTCTTTTGTGTAATCATTCCAAGTTGGTCAAAAGTGTTGTGATACATTTTTAATTTACTTTGTGTTGTGGCATTGCTGTTGATTTCTGTTGCTGATTTTTATTTTTCAGTATGGGACCATGCAGCTGTGGTGGTTGGCCTCAACCACATTTCTTATATGCTGCTTTTCAAAAGATCACTTCAGGGAAAACCAGACAGATTCAGTCAATCTTGAGATTTCCATCAGTGTCCTATAGTACTTAATATCTATTTTCAAAGAACTTTTTCCAGAACAAATATGCAAACGCTGATTATTCCTCTGACAGCTTTGCAGTTGACAGTGAACAATGCAGTGTGAGCTCTGCACCACCCTCTTTCCTTCACATATTTCCAAGATGTGGTTCTTTGCAAAGTTGTTGTTGTTGTGTGTTGTCACTAAACTGATTGGTCCCTCGGGTGGAGTGCCTTTTAATGCACAGCCAAACAAACAGAAAACATATTCACATGATGTTTAGGTACAGTGACGGGCCGTGAGAATTTCTGAAAGCGAGGCCTACTTCAGAGGAAACAGCCTGGAAAACCATTGCATAAGACCCCCTTTAAGTGGTGACATAAAAAACTCTGGCTACTTAGAAGGAAAATAGAAAGAATGATGGGTGGATCTAGATGTTTGCGCTGTATACCCAGTGATTTATAGAGATTAGCATGCCGGGCATATTGTTAGTGTTTCCTGCTTGACAGGTTAGGAACAGGAACGTTTCACTGATCAGGCAGCGTTGGGATACTCTGGTATTCATCTCAGCTCTGTAGCCAAAGCAGCACAGGAACTGAGAACGTTATCTCCCCCATCAGCCTCCCTTCCTATGTCCTGAATAAACTGTTGTTTCTATATAGTGGCCCACCACAGCTTATCCGACTTGGACAGGTTGAAATCCATATCAACAGACCCTCCCCCTCCCCCCTTTTTACCTACCGCTTCCCAGGAAGTTCTCTCCTCAGTGGTTCCTTCCTGAATGATCGGATTTGACTGTGTTATTGCTGATGGGACCTCGCTCTGGTTCATACCAAAGAAAAACATGTTTAAATGGTGACAGAAAGGAGTGTTTAACTGTCTGTGTGTACTCACCTGGGCTGGGTGTTTATTTTTCCCTTCTCCTTACATAAAACCCGCCATCAACATGCTATCCGGTGCCAATATCGAACCCCTTCCTGGTATTTCTCCTATCTAAATGAATGGAATGTTTCTAGAGTTTTGACAAACTATCTGTGTGAGTGTGTGCTCACATCCCTTCTGTTAGACGTCATCTGGGGCATTTCTGTTTATAGAAGGCTCTATAGGAGACCGTAAGTCCATGTCAAGCTAATATGTATACAAAGCTCCACACACAGACAGCAGGATTCAGTGTAATAAATTAAGGGTTTCCTCTCCCTCATGATACTTTCATCTCTTCTTCTACACTTTTTTTTTTAATTGTAAATGAACAAATGGATCTCCCTCTTGTATTTTCTTCTCTCCTTCAGCTGTCTGAGAAGTGAGGGGGTGGACGGAGGTGATAGGGGGCAGATGTTTCCTCCCCAGCTTTGAAGTGTTTGTAAAGATGGAGAAAATACTAGTGGAAAGGGTAAAGCCAGTGTCTCCATGGAGACTTTAGTCAGGAGGCTCTTAGGGGATTTCTTTCTGGCAGCAGCTTTGGAAATGGCTGCTCACTGCGCAGCACTGTGCTGTGACCACAAACCTTAATGGAGGACCTCACATTTAACATTCAATGTAAGGAGAGCCCCCTTTAAATGTTGTGTAACAGCTCAGCTGCCAGGGCACGCTTACTGCAACACATTTGTTTGGTCAAACAGGACTTGCTCAGTACATGGTTGGAGTCCAAATGTACACAGAGGCCTGGTGTGATCTGTTAAAGATTTCCACCTTCTGTAAACTTCGAGATGGCATGTGGTCATCTGGAAAAAAAAAGAATTTGACTGTGAGCTGCATCTGCTGATCCATTTATTAAAAGTGTGACAGCTCAAATTTCTCATTTGGCCATAGGGTGTCATAAAGCAATGTATTGCCACCATGTGGTTAAAGAAATGACCATGGACGGACTCTCAGAGGGAACATCAGCAACAGGCAGACAGATGGCAAGATGTGTTTTTAAAAATAAATCCCTCCCAGCCACGTCTGAATTATTCTTTTATAGCCCCGAATATCAATCCAAAACACACCAACGTGCACAGGGCCATATGCTGCAAAATTATTAAAGTAATGAACATGTTAAAAAAGGTGTTATTCTTGTTTTTCTTAATAGTAAAAAATGCTGTTGTTCTCGGGTTTATGTAAATTATGAACAGGAAGGAAGCTGGTTATTTGAAGGATCCCACAAAAAGGAAGAAAAACTTGAAGAGTCATAAGAACTCCTCTTCTGATTTTGCTTTGGTATGCAGTAACCGTACTCTCACAAAGGATCCAAGAGCTTCTATTCTCTAAAAAAAAAACTGACTAATACTTATAAATCTACCCATGTATACAGTTTGTCCATAATCTTCTCTTGACATCCATCCATGTTTTGTTTTTTGGAACATTTGCTCTCAACAAAGAAATCCTCTGAAATCCGTGAACACAAGCTTACTTTAAAGTTCAAACCATTTGGATGAGCTGGTCATACAGTTTCAGCACCAAAACTGCGTTATTTCCAGAATCCCTGCAGCTTGTGCAATTTATACTCTTCACTCTTTCTCCTACCATCCCACAAACTAATGAGTGATGACTCTTATGTGAGCTTCAGTTGAAGCAAAAACAACACTTTCATTAATTGCCATTTGCACAAAACAAAATTCACCTTTTGGGACCAGGCAGCTAAAGCTTCCATTATAAGATCCCTAATGCCAGTGTCCATTTCAATGATTTTATTCTGTTTGAAAGCTTTTTTTTTTTCATTTAATGATCTCATTATGGCAAAGACTTCTATATTCGGTCACATTCTTGTTTTTTTTCTATCACTTTCTTTTAAACTTTTCCACTACAGTTTAGCAAAGAGGTTAGTGAAGAAAAAGAGGCCGTATGCAGCACAAAGACACACCTCCCACACACATACTGCCAGACGTTAGTCACAGAGAGCCAAAGCAGAGGGATTTTTCCCTTTAAAAGTGAAACATTAACCTTTGCACAATATCACAAAGTTCAACAAGCTGCAGCTTGATATACATCACAATATATGACTCTATTAAATATAATTTTCCCCGGATGATTTCTGTTTTTCTTCCATTTAAGCCACGGGTTGTTTCAAGCTGAAAAAATAAGCGGACAAAAGAAACAGGCAACATTAGAGAGTGAAAAGAAACATTCAAAAATAGAAAAATCATTCATTTGGTGCACTTTAAATAACAAACCCCTGAACACCGCCCTCACCTTTAACGATGACTTTGGCCTGGGCCGTACTGGACCCGATGCGGTTGGTGGCCACACATTTGTACGTCCCGCTGTCGCTCATTTTGACGTCGGCTATCAGCAGCCTGCCATCTTTGGTGGTCTCTGCCCCGGCCGATAAGCTGCCCCTGCCCATCCTGCTCCAGGTGAACTCGATGGGGTGGGAGCCGTGGGCAAGGCACTGTATCATCAGGGCGTCTCCGGGCCGCAGCCTCACCTGGTCCGGCAGGCAGGTGGCGTACGGGGGGGCTGCGGGAAGAAGGAAAAGTCTTTATTTCAGCCTCAGGAGACAGAGAGAATCAGTTTGTGCCTGATAGGTGCGTCCACTCACTCTCAACCTCCATATGCGTGTACGCCTCGCTGTAGCCCTGAATGTTGGTGGCGTTGCAGATGTACTCTCCTGAGTCCTGGCGCCCCACGCTGGTGATGGTCAGAACTCCATTAGCCACCGTGTGTTTCCATGGCAATGGAGCTCTTAGCTTGGACCAGCTGATGAGAGGAGGAGGGGAACCTGGAAGGAAGGACATTTTCAGTGATTTCGGGAGATTCAGTGATAGACATTGATGAGAATACAGCGGAAAAATCTTTAATTGAATTGAATTGAATTGAATTGAATATACTTTATTGATCTCCAGGGAGAAATTGACTAAAATCTTACCACTGGCTTTGCACTCCATCGTGACGGTTTGCCCCTCCACCACCGTCATTTCGGCAGGGGTCACCGAGGCCACGGGTGCTCCCGGAGGGCCATCCACGGACACCTGAATTTTGACTTCCGAAATCCCCTCGTTGTTCTCAGCTTGGCAAATGTAAACTCCGGATTCCTCTGGACGCATGTCGGTCCACTGAGAGAACAGTCAGATGTCATGCTCTCGGCCTTATTCGAAATGTCAGAAGGGATTCAGGAGGAGTCGGGGATTCACCTTTATGGTGTTGACATCGTTTATTTCGCTGGTCACCAGGTTGAGGGTGGAACCTTGGCGTTTCCAGGACAGTGTGGGTCGGGGCCTGCCTGTGGCACGACATTCCACAGACGCGGAGTCACCCACCCTGACCCGCAGAGGCCCGGCCGGGGTCAGCCGTACCTTAGGGGCATCTGAGGGATCAGAAGGAGATGCATAAACATCCCTTCTGAAACAACTAAACAAGCCTGTATAGAGAAAGGGATGACTTTTAGCCCCATGCGCTTAATGGCTGTCATTTGTATCCTGAACAATAAGTTAAAGTAAAATTTAGATATGTTAAAGTCCATCCGAAGGTTAGTGTGGAGCAGGTGGATATCTGCCCATTCACCATCTTCTAACTCTGATTTTAGTCACATAAATTCCAGTGGACACATGTGGAGCTGTCTTGAAATCTTAAGCTCTCTCTGCTAAGCTCCCCACTGTCCTGTAAACTACATTTATTTGTCATTTGGAGCTCAGTTTTTAAATACAGTGAGTTAGAGTATGCTTCTTTCACAATGATAACTATTACTAATGGTGGCAACAACTGGCCGTTTAGGTTAAATGAGGGTTAAACATACATGCAAAAAAGCTGAGATTTTAGGCTGAGCTTTGCAAAGATGGAGCCTCGGAAATAATCATTTCTGAGTAGTCATTACCACTGGAGTTCTCTTTTCTGCAGCTAGATTAGTGGAAATAGATATAGATCCTAATAAAACGGGCTCGTGGTAGTCTGTAGTTTCCAGTTTTGCCACTGCGTGCATTAAGGTCAGGAAGACATGAGCGGTGGAGACGGAGCTCACGTTTGACGTTCAGCACAGCGTTGGCAGAGCTGCGGCCGGCGGAGCTGACCGCCACACAGCGGTACTGGCCATGGTTTCCAGGCCGAGCATCAGCAACCGTCAGCACAGACCCATCGGGACCGATTTTTGTATTGTCTAGATAGAAACAAAAGAGTTAAATTAGACCTTACAATAAATAGTCACATGGGGAAAAAAGCTGAATAATTTAAAAAAGAAATCATGATTTAAAAAATAGACACCTGCACTTTTTTTAGATGTCAAAAAGAGTTTAATATAAGGGAAAATGAATAAAAAAAGTCATATCAACATGTTACCTCCCAACATAAAAAAAACTAAAATATGAGCACTGCCACCCTTTCATTAGCTGCAATGTGCTGCTAATCAAATGTTGAGTATTTGTCGATTTGAATCAATGTGAGCAAGTCTATATCCATTAAATGCTTAGGAAGAAAGACATCAGCCATGATGTTAGAGAAGCTGTGGTTGCTGTCCATCAATCAGGGAAGGGTTACGAGGCCATTTCCAAACTATCGTTTTACGTTGAGTGAGATTATTCAAAAACAGGAAACATTCAAGGCAGTTAAAATTCTCCACAGAAGTGGCTTCTCTGTTAGGTTCACCCAAGTTCAGACCATGTAATGATTAGGGGGGAAAAAGCTATGTTTCAGACTCACAGGCTTCGGCTGATATGTTAAACGTTCATGTCAAGTTCATGACAGCAAAATCTGAGAAGACTGAACAAGTAAAGCTAGTTTGGAAGGATTGCTGTGAGTCTCCTCTCTTTAACACTATCATGGCAGCACAACTAGCCTTTCTGGAACAATGTTTATACAAGAAAAGTGGAAATGTTTGGTAATGAGGCACAGCATTGGGTTTTGAAAAATAAAAAAATAATAAACCAGCAAGAACCAGTCAGATCAACTGTCAAGTTGCTGGAAGGGGATTTTTTAAGGCTTGTTAGACTTGTTCTGCAGCTGCAGGACTCCTTGTAGTAATTAAGCTATGCATTATTACATCGTTATATAGGATTGATTAAGTCAAATAAAGAGAAGATCCTTCTGACTACTAAAACATGGCTGAAACAGGACGCAAAAGCAGCAAAAATGCAACTGAATGATTTCAAAAGGGAAGAATCAAGGTGTTGCAATGGTCCATTCAAAGTCCAGACACTAAAACAAATGGCCAGCACTGTAAAGGAGTGTGGGACAAAAGTCCTTCTCAATAATGTGAGAAACCGATTCATTCAGGAAATTGTCACTTTCTTTTATTTGTGCAATAATTGATTCTGAGTGCACTCATGATTCACACTGCATTGTTGGTCATCTGAGGTTATATTTTGAGACCTGGAAAGGTCCAGATGATTTCTTTTGTAGTACAAACTGTGTGGATGTCACATTTGGCGTTCTGACCTGGTAATGCTTGGTTGTTAGGTCTGCTCCACTCCAGCTGGACCGGTTGGACGGTGCCGCTCGCCTGGCACCGAAAGCTGACCGACTCGCCCTGGCGCACAGTGGCGGACCGGGGGTCCACGGACACCACAGGGGCCTGACCGGCCACTGCGCACGAGAGGAAGAGCACGCGCGCATGAAATCACCTCTGTGAACTTTTAGACAGGTCTGGGTAAAAATGTACTGTCAACAAACACCACCACAAAGCAAACAGCCAGAACAAACTCACAGACTGAACTGTTCTCTGACACGAAAACAAGGCAAATATGACGAATATGTATTTTTCAAAAGACAACACAACATGTTTTTTTTACATTAACACACCAGCTTCACTGAGATCAGTGTATAAAAATCATTTGTTGTGCTCATTTAAAGAAAATACCCATCAAAAGGCAGTGCCAGCCTGTTTTCCCTTTCCCATCCGACAATCTGTTATACAGACTCTATATAGAACAGATGGAGCTTCAAAGGCAGCTTAAATCTGTTTGTAATGCAGTGAAGACTAATTAAATCAGTGCATTTAAAAATACAATTTCAAAAGGGACAGAAATATCTGTCAAAGCGAGCGGCGTGAGAGCAAACCCTTTACTGTTGTCCAACTGAATCCACTTTTTTTTTACCTGAACAGAGGAGAGAGCACAGGATCCAAATCTCAGGAAATAAATCCATGATGAGTGCTGAGCAGCCTCACTGTCTGAGCGGCGCACAACCTCTCTGTCTTTGTCCTTCTCTTATCACTTTCAACCTTTGACCCTTCAACTGTCCTCTTCCCCAATTCAAATACAGCATGAAAGCTAAAGACACACATGTAACGCAGGTTTTTTCTGGATTCCCCCCAAAAACTAACATTTTACAGACAACCTGTCTGTAAAAAAACTGCACCTGTCTCTCCTATATAAATAATCATAATAATACAAGAAGGTATGCTAATAATTAGATAAGAGGAACTTAATCGCAATTGTCTCATCTTATTTAGGTTGAATTATGTGGTAATCTGAGAAATTTGTCTTCAATTTTCATGTGTTACAATTATTTTACCATAGAACAATGATGCGAAGTGATAATTGGCTGACTTTTGTAAAAGTCTGATTATTAAATCATTGTGGTGACAGGCTCGTTTGGTTTCTTTTTTGTATTCACCTCCATTAGTGTTTAAATTATCACTGTTATTTCCACTGCTGAAAAGCTACAAAACTGTAGCACTCCTTAAGGATATTATTAAAACATTTAAAAATGTTTCCATTAGCTTAGTGTGTAGTCCTAGCACCCCCCAAAAAAAATTGGGGAGAAAGAAAAAAACAATCTGAGAAAATGATCAGGTTTAAAAATAATGCAGAAATTATCCCACACAAGTAATTGACTGCTTACTTTGAATTATTAAGCTTTTTCTTTTCCTTCTCTTAATCCCTTCCTTAAAACAGTTAACAAAATCTTACAATCAGTTATTTAGGATTATCCCTTAGAAACCAACATAGCCAAGTGTTATTACAATCTAGAGTCCCAATCATGTAATCACTGTTCATTAAGGGTTACAAAGATATCTTTGCATGTATTTAGACTGGTTTTAGTTAAGAATCAAACATTTTGGTCCTGATTCCGCTGGCAGCTCCCAGGTTCATGGTTCTGGTTTGTGTTTTTTCACCACCAACAAATACAGACTTGTATAAAACGGTTTAATGTGAAAAATTCTGTTAAACATACATCTTTTATTATGTCCAACTGACTGACACACTAACTACAACAATTAAAAGGAAGAAATATACAAAAAGAAGTTAAAGAGGATGTAGTGATATTACTAAACACTAGAGGGTATATGTGAGTAAAAAGAATATCATTATAATTATAACAAACAAATTGTTCTCAAATGGGCCTCATTTTAAAGTGAAGCTTTCTTTAGTTTCTTTTAAAGCATTCATGGAGCAAAATAACCTGTCAAAGAAATTTAGATTTGCAAAAGAAAAAGAGAATAATGATAATAACGATTCAGTTCAAGTCTGATTTTTTTTTTTAAAACATAAGTAACAATGTGTTTATTCCCGTTTTGTTGTGTAAGGATCACAACATTTCTTTTCCTTAAAAAAAATACAAAATTCCAACATCTACAAATAACGATATGCAGTCATGAAATAAAATGACACATTCAGAACAATAGTTTAAAAGAAAACACATGCAGCAGTTTCTTCTCCTAAACCTCAAAGAAAAATTAGAAGGAGGACCAATGGCAGATCTTTAAAGGGGATAACCATACTACACAGTCTGCTTTTAATTCAGCTGGAAACCAGTGTGTAGTGGGAGTGTTTGCTGGTCTGAAGAGCAGGATGAAAAGGCAGAACAGGAAAGCATCAGATGTGGGTGATTACTCGAGTTCTGGACGAGGAAGAATAGGATTTACTCCGTATTGCCAGTGTCCTTCAACCTTAAGTGGAAACATTCAGAAAAGACAGAATATTCAGTACACTAGATATATTATCCATGTGTGTGCTACTTGTGTTTGCTTTGATCATCTATTCTCCATCATCTCCCAGATACTAATGACTTAATCACGTATGCATTATTGAATTAACAAGGCATTAGAGTGTCTACTCACTTGGACACAAGAAGGTCAGGTAGTTCCTTATAACCTCTGATCAGGTGTGTAACAATAAGCTGGATATCCTCCTGTTAGTGAACAGAGAACACAGACATTTAATCGAAAACAATATCAGCCTTCAGGACGAAGCTGTTTCTTCTTTATGGCCCATACTTTTAACATTTAGTTTTGGCCAAACTTTATTCAGCCAGGAAAATATAACCATGAACATTGTACAGTGACACACAAAACGCTCAAATAGTGAACTACAACAACCATGTGAGTCAAAACTGAAAACTAAGGGACTTGTAGAATTATTCGGCATCGGTTTCAGGATGGTTAGATGACATAGGTCTCTGGAGCAAAGACAGTAACTTTACATCCATGTGGGTTTTTTTTTGTCAAAACCAATTCTAATAATGGCCTGTATTATAGCTTGTAGAGGCTGATGAACAGAGAGGTTAGTAGTTTAAAAAATAAAAAACTGAATCACCGCATCATTGTTGATTCAATCTAAAACTGGCATTGAAGAAAATTAAAATCATTATTAAATTAACGGAACAATCGTGGTCCCAGGAACGCCCGCTGGCCAATGTTTTGTTCCTGAGATAACAGCATGTGTGTTATGACTCCTGGGTTTTGTCTGATTTATGCAAATTGCAGTGTGCGGGTGGCAAACTCTGATTGGCTCCAGGGGGGGAAAGATCAGCTACAAAGACATGGAATAACTCGTCCTCCTCTCCGCCCCAACCAGCCATTCTGTGTTCCACACCGTAGTAAGAGTAACAGTGACACCTACTGTCTTCACACACTGAAACCTGCCAGACGGCCTCATTTCCATTCGGGGCATTTGGGTCTAAAAGCCTCACATAGATCAACAGTGACTGTAACATTTCCATACATACAGAGAAGCATTCACACACCACGGTGCAGCTTAAAAGAGCTTAATGTTTCCTCATTCTGACTGCTCCACGGGCTCTGCTGTCACTGGGTTAGCAGCATCTGCAGCCTGAGCGTTAGACGGGCTCCCCGGTGGGTACCTGAGTGGGATGAAGCCGGGGAGCTGGCTTGGCTGACAACTGAGCAAACGCTCGCAGCATCCGCAGGAGTCTTCACCGCATACAGATTTGCCTCTTCCTGGAACTTGGCAATGTTTTTCTTGTACCGAATCCGCTTGTTTCCAAACCAGTTGGCCACCTGAGAGGATTAAGAGTTGGAAAAAAAAACACAAAAAAAACATAATCTGACACTTCTTGAGCTAAACAGTTTTTTTGAGTTTGACTGTGTTTTTTCAACAAGTCTTTGACTTTCTGACCTGAGCAACTGTGATGGAGCACTTCTTGGCCAGCTCCTCTTTGGTGTCCTCGTTAGGGTAGGGGTTTGCCAGGTGAGAGTAAAAATATTCATTCAAAATCTGAGAGGCCTGTTTGCTGAAGTTTCTTCGCTTCCGCCTGACAGAACAGGGACAATTGGACAAATTAAACATCCTCAAGACTTCTTTTTGTTTTTTTTTCCACTGATACTGAGACATACCGGAGGATTATCAGTAAGGAGAGAGTAAGCGCGAGAGCCCCGACCTGGCATCCAGGAACCTGGAGCGGAGGATCATGACGGCTTCGCACGTGCTCTGCTTCAACTGAGTCTGGATGGTTTTGAACTTGTGGCTGATGATTGACACCATTCGCTCGACCTCTTTGGGTGAGACGGGTCGGGTGCGGGACTGCTCCCTCAGCAGGTTCATCACATGACCGGTAAACTCGCTACACGCCTGTACGTGATCAGATAACCGTGTATGCGAGGACTATTGTCTTGCACCTCTTTCCTGACATTTTCTGTTAATTTTTTTTGCTACTTGGGTAACACACCTGCTCGTATTTCTCCAGCTCGGCGTTGTACATCTGCCGGATCTGAGTGAGCTTCTGTCTGTAGTCGTCAAACTCCACGCTCCTGTCCACAGGCGACCCTCCGTCCGCGGCCGCAAACGCGGCGGCCGACGCGCCGCCCTTCTCCGGACCGGCCACCCCCTCGGCCAACAGCATGTTGTCCAGACGCATGGCCTGAGGGTCCGGAGGCTCCTCTCGGTGAGCGCCTGGTGTGTTGAGAGCTGTGGAGAGGCACATAAAGACTGTCAGGCCCCCCAATCGGAGCAGATTCTATTTCCTTTTGAAAAAGACAGGCCTGGCAGCTTCAGCTCACGGTTTCTTACGTTGGAAATGTGGCACGTTTTTTCAATCAGACAAAGGAGTGCGGACTGAAGAATGATAAAAATGTGGTTAAATCTCAGAGTGCACACTGCATACAACTTTTTACACATAATCCCACGCCAACAAGTTTAAAAAATATGCAAATCTTGCTGATCAGAAGCTTTTTCAACATAATGCTGCTTTATTAAGAGGAGCACAAATATTACTGTGTTATTTTAAAATCGGAAAGAAAGACGAAGTACTAGTTCTGGGAGAGTTCCTATGAACTGAATATTGTAGTTTTATTCTTTGATGAAACATGGGCTTTTTTTCCACAAGTGAAATACCGTCCAATTTGTGTTTTTTTGTTTAATAACTGTGTGTAACCACAGCTAACCACCATTGGGGGCCAGATCGCGTATCAAGTGCAGAAAAAAATGAGTTCACAGGATGTTATTCAAATCAGGTGCAAAAACCAAAACATATGACATTAAAAAGCCACTGCGCTAGTTTAAAAAAAAGAAAATCTTCCGTGGCCACATGACCCCGTTTCATTGTTGCAATACAAAAAAAGAAAAAAAGAAAAATAGGGCAGTGAAGTTAACCAAATTGATAAATAAATAAAAACATTTAAATCCATTTTTCTTGTGACTTTTGTGACTATTTGATGTGAAGTGAACTTTGCAAAGAAAGCTGAGATGTCTGGAAACAGCACGTCTCTCTTGGTACGTGATCCGGAAAAAAAGCGTGGGCAAGACAAACATAAGAAACACACACACACATATACACACACACAGCTTTTAATCAACGCCAGCTCTTAAAGAGTGACTAAAGACTCAGGGAACTGGAAGGGCTCATAAGAGAGGTTGTCGATGTGTAATTATGCTAATCAATAACAAAAGGAGCTGACACAAGTGTCTCCCATTCATAATCCATAACAAGACAGTTGACAATCTCCACATCTGCCAACCTCCATCAACACTGATACTGAGTGATTAGCTCCTTTTTGTGTGCTGCCAGACACACCAGCAATTTAGCTAATTTGTGATTAGAGAGACCTACATTTTCAGCTACAACCGCTTTTGCTAGACTGTTAGTGATGGAGAAGCAAATCTTACCCCGACTTTTACTAATTCATGTCATGAATGCATGCCTGTGTGGCCCTACCAACAAACAAACATGAAAACCCATGTCAAAACAAAGTGTCTTGAGTATAATTATCTCCTGCGGCTGGAGATCAATGATGGTAAAGTGGACCGGAACGCTAATGTGTTTTAACCTCGGTCAGCCGTCAGTGGTAGATCGGCCCAATATTGTTTTCAGATAAACAAGATTAAGAATCAGTTTGATGTGATCAGTCAGAACTGAGAGTTGGTCTTGAAATACACACAGCTGGTCAGCTACTGCATGTTAGAGAAAATGATTGGAAATACAGCATGAGAGGGAAACTAGCAAGAACGAGCACATGCTGAGTCAAAGACATTACAACCGGCCCTACTACAGTCTCCTCACGTGTACCTGAAATGAGTAGATTTCAATTCAATTTAAACTAAATATATCCTGATCCATCCAATGGCAATTTCAGCCCCCTGGTTTAAAAATGTGGGTCAAATTAACATAGAATAACGTTTTCAGGCCAGATGATTCGTCACCAGGCGAAATACCAAATTTGGCCCTTTTGTTTGAACTGAAAGTGGCTGTTGTGGATGAGTAAGGTGGGAAGAGGACAAGAAAATAGAGGCAGGATCGACAGATCCCGCTGCGTTCATCCACGTGGATCACAAAAAACAATCAGAGCTACGGCAACATTGCATCATCTTAACTGCGGGCACACACTCCTGCTGTTAGTCACCCAGATTAGAAGATCCTGTTGCTCCCATGAACTTCTCAGTCAAAAGCATCTCTGGCTACGACGCCCCTCCTGCAGTGGTGCTTCTAGCCTTTTCACCATCTGAGCATTTGGAGGGAGAGCCTCACCAATAATCATCAAGGCAGCCAGCAGAAGTTCAGAAGTCGAGTTTTAGAAAAATCCCACCACAAACTCAGGCCACTCGAGTACGACACACTGAGCACAAGAGCAAGAGAGGGAGAAAGAGAGACAGGGCATCAATAACACGCAGAAAACGGTCAGCAAAGGCTCGGAGACGGGGTCGAGCACCAGCGCAATGCGCTCGGGAGAGTCTCCAGTCTCTCTCTCAGTCTCTTGTCGCAGTTGTGTCATCGTGTGGGTCACCATGAAAAATAAAGCGGACAATTAAACACATGCTTAAGATGCTTCACTAAAGCAGTTTCCTACCCAGGTCAAGCTAACGTCATCATAGGGCTTAAATAAGACACAAACAAGCAAGTCAAAAACAATTAATGCAGCCTGTGAGGTTAGAAACTGGGAACGCTCTGAAAAAGTAAAGCTGCACCAGTTCAGCTGACGTAAAAGGACGTTACGCACGGACATCTTACCCGCTTTTTCTTTGATCTCACACAGGACACTGAAGAGAGCAGGCTTCATTCTGTGGTAATTCAATGCGTGTTTCCTTGAATGGAAAAAGGAAAGAAAAAAAGACAGAAGAAAACAGTTTTTACATTAACATTTTTAGTTAGCTTCTTCTTGTTTTAGTGTGATTGCTGGCAATGGAACCCTTCAGAGAAAGTCTTCACCCAGTCGAAGTACAACTTTAGCTCCTGAAAGTTAATCTTTAATGTCTGCAAAAGATCTCATATAACTCTGCACACAGAATTAACAAAAAAATCAAAAAGTAACTATACAACAAACTAAGTAGAGAGTGCTAATTAGAACATTTGGAATATTCCATTATCTACAGCACATGCAAACACATCAAAGGCCTCTAAGGCATGCAGCTAAATGAGAGATAAGGGGAGAGGGATGAGGACCAGGTGAAGGAATGTAATGAATGTGAGGGATGAAAATATTACACTCAGCTTTAGAATCAGAAATCAGAAAACTATGTATAGGCCAAATCAACACAGTACACAGGAATTTGACATGGGGACAGTTTAAATAACACATTTGAAAAACAGGCAAAGAAAGGGTAGAAATCCCCCCTTTGGGACCCCCCTGCACCTCTATCATTACCTGGCCTGGGCCTCATCCAGACTCTCATCTGTGATGGCCATTATCTGCTGGAGGATGTGACCAAAGTCCTGCTGCTGCCTCTGGCCATCGCTGTGGTGTTTCCTAGTCTCAGGATCATCGTAGTCCTCCTGATTTACTCCGACCTGACCCGCTGAGAGGTGGCTGTGGTACGCCATTGCTGACCTAAGTCCGTGAGGTGGATAGAAGTGGGTGGAAAGCGACTACAGAAGACGTTCCTTTTCCATTTTACGCACGCCGAAGCAGCAAAACGCTAAGACTTTTTCCAAAGTATTCCGACAGTTGCGAGCAATGGAACTGGTTGATTGTGTTGGCCCGGATTACGGAAAAAAACAAACCAACTTGCAGCAACCTTCCAACTTGCTTGGAGAACAGAGGGGACAAACACGTTGAACTTTAGTGGATAAAAAAACGCACTGTTTTAATAAGCAACGTGAGCTCGTTTCTTCTTGTACTGAAAGCAAAAATAACGATAAGTCTGACCAAAAGCCAAATCTGTGATTGAAAACAATCCCCTAAACATAAACAAATAGCAAAGATAATACGAGTCAAACGGAAGTATGGATTATGTGAACGCGCACACTATCTGGAGACCTGGGGGTCCGCCCTCCTCCTCTCCCTTTATGTCTCAGAATGCCATAAAAAGTGGGGTCACATTTAAGCCGGACTAAAAAGCATTCCGGTGGAAATTCATCCGGCTGACTGCGTCCCAGGCCACCGTTGAAGGGTTGGTGGCAGTCCCTGTTGCTTACGGCTGTTTTCCACACCTCCTGGAGAAACACCACAAAGCTGAGGCGCACTGCACGCTGTCAAGTTTGGTGAGTTCATTTCAATTTCCGCCAGAGACCTTTGGAGTCCGACTACTTCAACTGGGGCATTTTCACAGTCTGGAAATAGTTGTCTCACGCTTTAATGTTAAAGCTCTTCCAGAACCTATTAATGACTTATGGAAGGGGTGATATACAGAAACATCATACCATAGGATGGAAGTGGGAACTATCTACAGTACATCAACAAATAATTAATTTGAAAGGGATATTGCTGAAGTTCCGGTTTTGGTGGCCAGTTTAATGCAGCTGCATCATCATCGGTATGTCGGCGTGCTCCGGAGATCTCTGCCAGTTGTGTTTGGTACCGTGAAGAGACCCTCGTTTTAAACTGGAAACCATGTTGATGATGATGATGATGGTGATGGCTTTCCTCATACAGAAGATACTAACGTTAGAAGCAGTTTTGTTTGCAGTCAGTGGTGAATCATGAAGCCTGCTTGCACTAATTGAGTGAAACATTTTCTTAAACCACACCTCTGCTTTAATACAGATAGTATTGTTCGACATTCTGGCACAAGGGATGGATTCCCAAAGCAAAATGACCCGTTACACTGAAATATACCATAGTATTTGTTTCTTTTAAGGGGTCTTCAATGCAATTTATTTCACAATAAACAAATAATGATGGTCACCATCTGCTGTGGTGATTCTGTGTGAACTTTGGATTCTGACTTGATGGAAAAGGTGAATGAGCCTTCAAGCAGGAAGTGACAGATTGACTGTCTCTCACAGTCTGTCCCTCTTTTTATTCACTAGCACACCAACAATGAGCAGATGTGCTGAGGCTCAGACACACAGAGATGCTCTCAATGGCAGTTTGTCTCATCGACCCCTTGTTTTATTGCCAAATTAAAGCTGCCTCTTGCTCATTAATTGGATGATTAGACGAAGAAGCTAAGTGCTTTGATCATGTTCTCCATTCAGATGGAACGGTCCACCTGCCCCGGCCCCCTCTCAGACACCACCCATGGTCTGTTCTCACTGTTGCCATGCCAACAGGGACCTGGGCCCCTCTGGATGGGGGATTGAAGATCATTCAATAATGTGAGTGCACACACAAGCACACACATTATTCCCTATTAAGAGGAATGCCTGACTATTGCCTGTTGTCTTCTCTTTCTGAACAGAATCCTTTGTGTTCCCTGAATGCTGTAACAGCCTGACAAGAAATAAACTTCTATAAATGAAATTGGGCATTTTTCACACAATTATTCACACTTTTTTTGTCTTGACATACCACTGTAAGATGCTAAAATTCCAGAAAAGGTCTGGCTTAGTTAAATTTAACAGCCTTTTGTTTGCTTATATGGTAGGGATTACAATAATAATTGCCTTTCCTACCATCTTCCCTGCTGCACTCTTTCGCCTCCTCCTTTTTCGTCATTGTGTCCATCTCACCTGTTTTGATGTAAATAACAATTTATCCGACTCCCAAAGCCTTGCAATCCTTGAGACACGCCATACACTTTAATACCTGTATAGTGCTGGCACTTTATGGTTGCAACAATCAATTGACTTGACCGTGGATGCAAAATGACAGAATCTGGAGAACCAATTACATGTAACCTTCCAGATTTTGTAGTTTGGACCATAAGTTGGAAAAAATGGAAGCTTTGTTTGACTGAACATTAAATGGTTGTAAAGAAACTATGCTAAATGTGGGGAAATTATATAAATTTGACGACGTTTTGTAATATATGCTGCAGGCACGTTAAAACACCTTACAAATGTTCAACAGTTTAGAAGAGGAAGTTATTTTAATGAAAGCTTAGAAAAACACATGGAACTTTTGTGCCGCCACTGCCATCTCGCGTTGAGAACCTGAACTAAGCTACGTGTTGCCCCGGTGTTTGATGGGAAATGTAGTAGAAATTACTTAATCACTTCCTAGTTTGACGAGGACGACCGAGATATTTCCAGTGGTGACTTAAGACGTTTTTTTTTTTAAACCACGAAATAACAGCACCTCGGAAAGACTCCAGCAGTACAAAGGCAGAGTGAGTATATCTCTTTATGTGTATGTAAAACACTTTATGAAACTACGGTCATTTGGATAAGTTTGAGGAAGAAAACGCGAAGTTTTGTCATCGGAACAATCACTGGAGTGTAAGGTAAGCTGGGTTTGTCATGAATGTATCAGTTGTGTCTGAGCGATCTTTGTTAAGTCAGTGCGATTTAGAATATAATTCTTTAACAATAAGCGTGAAATTTTCTTTCATATGGGATATTTTGCTGTCAGAGTTGTCCGAGCCCACTTGAACATTTAATGTTTGGCCAGGACTGACTTATGGTCGGCTTTTTCCTCCTTGTTGATAAAATAATTCATACAATAAACCTTTCAGAAGATGTAAAAGAAGTATGTCCGTACGGCAAACTGACCAATCAATGTCAATGGTAGATAATTGAAAAAATTAAATTAATTTTAAAAAAATAATAATAATAAAAAATAAAAATAAAATATATATATATATATATATATATATATAGTATAGAATAATTATTATCCCTAAAAAAATGTAAGACATTTTTTCTAATTTCTCGATATTTATTAAAATGTTATTTTTAAGATGTTTTATTTATTTATTGCAGTAAAGCTTAAGATATTAGTTAGTTTGACAAATAAAGAATGTTTAAGAATGGGGTATTAAATTCAATGGGCAATACAAAAAGTCAGTGGGAAGCTGAAGTAGGAGTCGTTGGCCAAAAAGATTTCAGGGGTTTAGATTTCAGGTGTAATTATGTAGGAAATGCTGTTCCTGTTCTCAGGGATGACAGCTTGAATAGTTTCATTCAGTCCCAAATGACTTGGTGATGTCGTAACTAATTTAGGCTAAATACGATGCTGTTGTCCTAAACAATGAAGTCTATGGACAACAGACATTATTTAGACCCTTGCTACCTCAGTTACATCCCCACTAATCACATGAGCACATCCTGCCGTAAACATGGACAACAGGAATGTTTAGAGTGTTGTCATCGGTGGGTTTAAACTTCCATTGGAGTACATAAATACAAACATGTGCTAGCAATCAGAAAGGTAAAAACAAATCGATATTAGCCAGTACTACCGGTCTGATAAAAGTAATATATTATTTGTTCAAAAGCTGAATCTAAATGTTTAGAATAACAATTCATCATCAATTCAGACATATTCCCCCAATTCCACAGCACAACACAGCTTCCACTCATGGATGTTTCCTTACTTAAATACTTTCTTCAGGTCCTCTCACAACATTATTGTTAGATTACTTTCTAGGCTTTGTCTTGGGGAATGAAATACCTTTTAAGCTTCCTTTTTGTCAGTTCATGAAACATTTTCCAAATAAATTCGGATCAAATTAATCTAATCAGTTTGGGCAGTTTTGGAAAAGGGGTTTTGAATCTGAAGGGTTTTATTTCCTGGTTAAACAAATATTGCCCAGACAGACTTGAACACGCATGCGTCTCTCCCTCAGATGTCCATGATGGAGCATGGGGGTGTCCGGCCGGTGACGGCGGTGGCCTGGACCTCTAACTCTGGCACCTTGCCCAAAAACTTCACCATGGTAGGAACAGCTCATTCTAGCTTTTACGGTGATGTATGGATATGTTCGCGTTGCTATGACCAGAAGCAGCTTGAGCTTTGAGACTTCATGGTTTGACTCTCAGTTGTAATTACTGTGATAAACAGTCTTTGTTTCTCAATTGGCAAAATCTTAAAAAGTGTAAAAACGCTGTGTCATCTTTATACTCAAAGATCAGCTGGATGGTTAAAGAGATATAGATTAAAGTATGACCATAAGAACCTGGTATGCTGGTCACACAGCGTTTCTCTTCAGCTCAACATTCAAAAATGTGTCCCCAGGGGAGGGAAACAACTCAACCTCTTATTCGTGGCTTGACCTCAGGATCTTTTTCCCTTAAAATGTTGAAACCTCCCCCCTATATGCACCACCGAAACAAGAGGCTAAGCAGATATTTTAACCAATGTCACTTAGCTGGTGCTTTGGAAGTACAGAACAGATTATTTTGGATCGGGCAGTCTCATTTCTAATTCCAAATTTACTGTATTTCCATTTCTCATCTCAGTTATACACAGATGTTTCTGCCCTCTGTGATCAGTAAACAACAAAACCTGGAGACGGAGAGCCAGTCTTAACATGAAAACAGAAGGATATGAATGCGTTGTTGTTGTTTCTTGTTACGTGTAAACAGTTACAGTGTAACAACACCCAGCATCATTATTCACTTAAAAGAAGGGACATACATACCAACTTTTGCATCTGGATGTGTTAGAGTCTGCATTTGTAAACTGGAAATTGTAAAGATCAACGTATATAGTAAGAGAGGCAGCAATTTGTCCTGAATATAACATCAAAATTTAGTCTTTTCAAGTTTCGATGTTTCGTAAACACAGCTTCCATCAAGTAGACAGATGAACACAAACTGTGACACCAGGCAGTTGACTCTGTGGGTGTGGATGCAGCTGAGTGCAGCAGTCTGGAGTTGCGCCTTTCTAAGGACACCCTGAGGGACAATCATGGAGTGTCTGTCTCTACAAACTCACCTGCTAACACCTGATGAATGAGAGCTTTTTTCAGTGCCGATAGATATGTGCCTAACAGATATCTCCCCGCCCCGGGGATTGTAAGGATCAAGACGAGTAAATCTAAAAAATGTGAAAAAGATTAAGTATCGTAAAGCAAACGGCAACGTGTCTCTGCTGTGTGCCTTCTGCAGATCGGCCTCACGGAAGACGGAGCTTCAGCCAACTTTGCGCGCAGTTTGATGAAGGCTGGATATTACCTCTGTTACAGCAAGGTAACACCCGGACGGCCCCTAACCTCCGCACGGCTTAACTCCCTCGTAACCCCTTACACTTGAACGACTGGTATGTGTGTGTGTGTAGGACCTGACAGGTGGCATGGTGGTGTCGGACATTCAGATTGTTTCTGAAAAAGACTCTATTCCCCATGGTTACTCCTACTTGACAGAGCACCTTGAACCAAGTGGGTGCACTCATACACACACGCTGACATGGTTTCTCTACATGTTTTTCTTTCTTTAGTCTCCCATGATATGCTGTTCCTTTTCTCTGTGTGTGTGTGTGTGTGTCCAGAGGCCACTGTTTCAAAGAAGAAGCGCGTGTGTGTGCGTTTCGCCCCGGTGGGCAGTGTGGACTCAGCTGTGCTGGACATCAAACTGACGGCCAAAAGCAAAATGATGTTGCAGCATTACACATTTGTGGGGTCAGTGGCATCGTTTTATTCTTCTTCTCCCCTGGTGAATTTATTGATGTGTTGATGAAACGCAGGTCTTAATCCGTTATCAATTTTCCTTTTTTATTTCTATTTTTTTTTTTTTTTACAGAGACATTCATGGCTACGTTCTGTGGTGCAGGAAGGGGCAGTTTTCTAGTCCCATACCCCAAGCCAAGCCCCGTAGTTTAAGCCTGGACCTCCGCAAGCTCTCCCTGGAGCAGCCGTCTGCTCCCCTTCCCCTCAGGCCCAGGTAGAGTTTTTCAGTATGATCGCTTATTTTTGAGGTGTCCTTATCATCTGTGTCATAAAGAATGACATAAATAACAAAAATCTCTAATCTCCTAAACGCACACTACCTTTTGAATCCCTGACTTTATAATCATACTGTTGTTTCCACAGCAATCCTCCTCCAGTGCCACCCAGCCGGATAAGTCAAAGACGCTGTAGCCTTAAAAAAGACAACAACGTGGATAAACCTGATGGGAGCCTCCAGGCAATTACAGGTACGCCGCATCCCGTTTTAGGGATTTACAGCATCATTGGCTTAATCGGTCTCAATGTGACGTGTTATATGTTCCTTGCGGTTTCATTCAAACAGCATTATGGCCAGTCCTTATTGCATTATACGCAGTCCTGGAATAACTGAGGAAGGCTTGAGGGCCAAGAGTCAGTAAACACAGAGTCCTTTGGAGCTGGAATGCACAGCATGTACTGTACAGCTGCATGTTTCCAGCCATAAGCGCCTCAGAATTATGTGGGATGAGCAATACTTCCCCACTATTTATAAAGTACACCAAATATGGCACAACTCGCAATGGGGTCACAGTTTATGCCAATAAAAACTTTAGTCAGAGCAATTTTTGTTTGAATTTTCTTTCAGCGTTGTCTCCAGCAACACTTTTCACTGGTGTTCACTCAACTGTTAAGAACAAAAAAGCTGCTCAAAGTTACAGTAAAACATCATTTTTAAGAACAGCAGAACATTCTGTCTTTGTAAAACACACCTCATAAAATTAAACAGCTGCGATATTTGTCTTATTTTTTCCAATGAAAGGAAAGGAAAACTGGCGCCACCTGTGGGATTACATAGAAAAAGCTGATGATTTAACACAGAGATCCACCTTTTAACACGCCTCCGATTAGTCATTGTAGCAGTTCAGACTTTTGGCTGTTGGGTATGAACCAGTGAGATGTTGTGGATTTTTAAGGAGAAACATTAATTCATGGAGAGTACTGTATTTCATAAACTGACGTCGCAGTTTTTATTAAACCTTTCCTGACCTCTTGTTTCCCACCTGTGATACCCACTTACCTGGCATTCCCTTTTCCCCCTGCAGCCCTAGATGGAGTTCCTTTCAGCCTGCATCCAAATTATGACATCCAGGCAAATGGAATGGTAGGCTAATACACTTAGTTGAATTTTCTGTTTCATTTTCTGTTTCATCTTCTGTTCCAATAAGAATTGTTTCTGCTTTTCTCTGTGCCATGTTGCTGCTAGGCTCTGCAGTCAAACCTGCAGCTAAACAACATTCGTATAAAGTCCTTTCAAGACATCGAAAATGAGGTTGGTTCTCTTCTAATATTTGATTGCTGCCATGTTATTTTTCTCCCTATATTGAAAATGCGCTCCCACTTTTTTCTCTTTCTTTACATTTCCAGTATAGCTACACGTTCACTGTGGAGGAATCTGCTGCAAAAAGGACCAGACCTTCCGTCTCATCAGAAGATTTCCCCTCCGTCCAGTGACCTCTGCACTGTGAAAACATCATATCAGATTTCTGTTACTTTATTCTATCCGAGGGGAGTTAGAAGAGTGGGAGCTTAAATCAGGGTACAGATGAAGGATTGGCATGCCTGCATTTAGGTTTACACAATGAAGCCGCCACTCCGGGGATGAGATAAGCCATCACATTTAACTTATTAAGTCTTTACATTAAATCTGTAATAGGAATTAAACATTTGAAGCACTCCAAGTTACTTCTCAGAGGTAAGACCTCCAGGTGAAAAAAGAAAGGCCCAAAGATGGGGCCACCTCTCTGAAGTAACTAAGCATAATGCCAAAGATCTCTGCTCTTGGTTTCTTATATTTTCAGTTGTAAAATATTTGTACGCAAAAATGGAATATGCACTTTGCCACTTGAGATGCCTTCTTCTGAATATTTTGTGTTTTTTTCCTGATGTGTTTGCATGTTACTGATCTTTCTGCTTCTCAGCCTGTTTGTAAAGGAGACCTGTAAAAAGTTTACCGGCTAATCTGTGCTGACCACGACAACTCAGAAGTCACACTAAAGTGTATCTGTATGTAGAAAACGGTGGTTTCCCTTCAAAGATCGATGGCCTGCCGACTTTATGTCATTCCCAACAATCAGTGTCACATTTTAAGATGATCGAGTAAGTACAATATATTTGTAATAACTGCATTGTCGTTATCTTTACAACAAACTGTTACTGTTCGAAACAATAAAAGCCCAAAGAAACATTCACTTAAATGTGTTGCTTTTGTTTTTTTGTAATAAACAAACAGAAAATCTTTCTCCTTTGTGACATTTTTGAAAAATGTATTATTGACGTCAAGAAACTTGTTTGGATTTTTGACACCTTCGGGCCCTAGATTATGAAAGAAAAGCTAATTGGAATTTAATGGAATATAATAATTTATTTGTAGTGGTCTGAGCTGAAACAAATATTCACCACGCAGTCCACATTGTGCAATTTTCTAATGAAATTCTAGCTTTTAGAATTAAGTTCAAGGTGTACGACAAGTTAAGAGCACATGAATAAAATTTAAAAGTGTCAATATTTTGGGGTAAAAACTGCTGCATAAACTAAGTAATCCATGGTTAACCATACAGTATAATCCAGACTGCATCATAATTCCCATAGTTTCTAAATGGTATCATGCTATTTATTTGTATTTGCTTAGATAGACAATGGATATATTCTTGTAATAATCATAGTAGTTAGTGTCTTTTAATTAATCAAATTAAACACTTTTTTTTTATTGGCTTTATAACAGCTGGTATTTAAATTTTAGGGTGGAATTTTGTTTTATTCCATTAATTACAATGATCTGGTAATAGATCCTTAAGGCTGCTCAGGGAGTTCAAATGAGCATTAAATGTTCTGTTATCAAGTAAAGGAATAATAGACTCAGGCACAAACGCTGAGCAGTGGATTCTTTCTGCTCCCTTTTGCCTTTTTCCTGCAGATAGCCCTCACAGACTGATGCAGATTTGGTAGAAAACATTAGGATGTTGCTCCCCGGCAGTAAAAACGCAGAACAGCAGTCACCGCTGGTCTGTTTGTTCTCGTTTCCGGAAAACGAGCTCTGATTCCAACCAGCTGTTTCCCGCCTCGCACAGATCAGCTGCACACACACACACACACACGTACACACACACACACACACGTACACACACGTACACACACACACACAACGTGCGCTCGTAGTAGGCGGAGGCAAGAAGCCACACACACACACACACACGCTGGAGGGAACCCCATCAGCTGTAGAAAGCAACACATCTTGGATTTACTTTTTATCACCAAACGCTTCCTCTCGGATCAAATTTGAAGTGGTGTTTGTGATATGCGTCACTGAGCAGTCCAGCTCGATCCCCCGGCAGAAAAAAGAAACGAGCATCCCATTGCAACGAAGTGGAGGGAGAAGGAAAGAGAAAACACGAACTACAGAAGGTGGCTCGGAAAGCATGGAATATTTCATGATGCCGACAGAGAAGATACCGTCCTTACAGCAGTTCAAGAAAACGGAGAAGGATGTTATCGGGGGTCTTTGCAGGTGTGTAACGCCGACTATCCGTTTGTTGGGGGGACGGTAGCGCTCTCTTAAATGATCTTTCATGTGGCCGTGGCGCGTGTATGTGTGCGCGGTCCGGGCTGGCTTCGTGTAGCATGCTAGCTGCTAGCTCCGCCGCCACACCGTGCTCGCGTGAAGCGTGCTCGCGGGAACAAGCCGCTAATTTTGTTGACTTTGCGGCTCGCGGGCAGCGAGCAAACCCCCCCGCGCGCACTCTCCGTGACTTTGCGTGTGCCGGTTGACCAATTTGCCACGGAGTTAGGAGCACGTTACAGTCAATTTTCCCCCCAGAAATATGTAAATTCAGCGAGGTGGAATGGTTACTTTCGGGTCCGGATGGAGACCAACCACGTGGTAGTTAACGTGTTCGCCACCGTGTCGTTGCTACACGACAGGTCGCCCCTGTAAACGCATACTTTGTGACGACGTCGCCCGTTTTTGTCTCGTGGCATTAGTGGGCATGTCGCTGAAGCTTGTGTGGAAGTGGGGGTTGCCAGAAAACGAGCTTCTGCCCCGGGAAATGCGTGTTTGAACTCAAGCCTCGCGCGGCAGCCATCGTTGGGTCATGTGCTAAAACTAGCCTAGCATGGCTAACGGGCTGGAAATCGCTGCGCACTTCCTCTCGGCTCGCCCTTTATTCAGGCGGGGCTCTTTAAAGTGGTCTGCTTGTGCTCGTGCGATGGAGTCGAAACGTTGAGCGCACGTGACGGTGGCCGCGAGCACCGGCGTCTCGGAAACGACACAATAACAAAGCGCTAGCCGGGCGCTAACGGCGGACAGCATTGTTCTCCTCGGTGCCGGGGGGGGGGTGGGGCGGGGGGGCCTGCTGCTGCTGCTGGCGGAGTCACATTTCACTGCTGGTCTCCAGATGGACGCACGCGCCCCCTGGCGGACACGTGGGAGGCCAGATGCCCTGGCAACAACAGCTGAGAGCAGCTGGTCTCCCCCCCACCCCCCCATCACTGAACAACAAACCCCAATTCCTCTCCTGGCCAACAGACAGATGTGGCTGTTTTTCAATGCCCTTCGCTGATGAATGATCCCAGGTTGTGTGTCCAGGAAAACAGTAAAATATTTGGCCAGTAGTATTTAAAAGCCCATTCTAAATTGGGATTTTTTTTTTAACATTTTACTGCTCTGTTGGAAGTGTTTCGAGCTTCGATGAAGGCGTCTGTCTGTTCATCTTTTTTTTTTTTTATTATTCAGTGGGATAAGAGTTCTTATATACTGTATTAGTACTCATAACGAAGCATTTTAACAGTCTGAAAACGCACACACACTTGGAATTGTTTAAAAAGGAATGTTAGAACATGAACAATGGATCAGTTTCTATGTTATAAATGACAAAAGTCGTTTGTTGTATTCCTGAAATGCCCCCCGTGTTTGTATTTTCTCTTGAAATGCTCATTTGGATGCATCTTAAGGATTGCTTTCTGGACTCAGAGATATGAAACCATGCAGTTCTGCTCTGGGTTTAGTCGTCAGAGTGGGGCTGCCCCCCCCCCCCCCCTTTTAGCTCCGCCTCCTGTCTGACCACTTGGCTCTTTCGGCCGATCCGGTCTTTCAGGTTTGTCCGCTTTAATGGTTCACAGATTACCCCCCCTCCCCTCCCCCGTTTTTTGTAAATATGACTCAAGGTTTTACGAGCATGGCTTCTGACATCACCGGGTGAGAGGGCACCGAGTTCAGCCAAACTCAGAGACCTCCATACTGCCAGACAGAAGAATGTAAAGGGGTCGGCTCAGTAAAGCTCCAGGCTGAAGGCTTTAAGTGTTATTGTAAGAGATAGCCGCCGGTGGCAGCTTTTAATCTTTGTTTTCCATCTTTCCAATGCGATTTATTCTCGCCGTGTTAGTTGTGAGATACGCGTTTGTTTTAGAATACGTTCTTTACAGTAGTTCTTCCACTCAATTAAACACAGTTGTAGTTTAACTTGGAAAACAATTACATGCCTCTGCTTCTGGACTGACGTTGGAAATTTGTTCCAACCCTGGAGCCCTTTTCTTTGTGTTGGCCCCATAAGAAGCAGACAAAGTGTGCACACAGACCCCCCCGGCTGGTAAAAACAAAACAACAAAAACACTTTGTTAAATGGTGAAATGGGCTGCAGAGGGGGGGGATTTGTAGCCTCAGGGGCAGGCTAACCGTCATCCGTCTGCTTTGGTTTCCCCTCAGCCTGGCCAACATCCCCCTCAGCCCGGAGTCGGCCCAGGACCAGGAGAGGCGAATCCGCCGCGAGATCGCCAACAGCAACGAGCGCCGGCGCATGCAGAGCATCAACGCCGGCTTCCAGTCCCTGAAAACCCTCCTGCCCCACACAGACGGAGAGAAACTCAGCAAGGTGCTTCTTTCCCCCCCCCCCCTTTTTAGGAGCCACCGCACGGGCTGGAAAGCCATAACTGTCCAAATCTGACATCAGGCGTCATATGTTGGTCGTCTAACTTCTGTTTGTGCGCCATGAACGTGTCTTATGGTTTGTCCAAACACTGTCCCACCCCCCCAGGCTGCTATCCTGCAACAGACGGCCGACTACATCTACACTCTGGAGCAGGAGAAGACGCAACTTCTGGCCCAGAACAACCAGCTGAAGCGCTTCATCCAGGTACGCTCTTCTGTCCAGCTGCTGCAGAGCACAGCAGTCTCCGTCTGAACGGGTTCTGCACAGGCATGGATAACAGAATTTAAAAAAATGACTTCATGACAACTTTTTTTTTAAATCGTTTTACTACTCTGAGCTGTCATTTACACTTTTGGCTCTGTCAAAAGTTTTCTGGGGGGGGGGGTTCCTTAGGAAAAAGCTCCTTCCGGTCACTGCGGCTGACCACAGTTGTGTGTGTGTGTGTGCGCAGTGCACTGTGAGGGGTGGGCGGTGTTATTATAGAGAACAGGAAGAGTTAAAGTCCTGAAAAAAAACAGGAACACCAAATAGATTTTGTATGAGAAAGACGTTATTGAAATGAGGATAAAGCCAGTCTGGATAGTTCCATGATCACGATGTGGGTTTTTATTTTTTGTTTGTTTTTTTAATAAATGGAATAGTTTCCATCTTGGTTTTCTGCTCAAAGTGGTGCCATGTTTTGTTTTTTTTCCCCATCCTGTGGCATTGCTTTCTGTGGGAAATTCTCTCATTCTCAATTTCTTTCAAGTTTTTAAAGTTGAAGTTAAAGTTGCAGGATTCTCTGAAATGACTTTAAAAAGCCTTAAACACCTCCGCATAATCATCCCATCCAGATATTTAGATTCGGTCCGTTTAGGGAAAAGAGTCTTTTGCCTTCTGTGAAGTTTGTAATCGCATTTCGGATCTATCGGAGGAACCTGGCAACCTGTCCAGTTGAGAGAAAACTGAGGACTTTAGTTTGCGGGTGTCTCCCGTTTAAATCCCTCTCACGCTGACCTTTGGGCCTCCCTCGCGCGGCAGGAGTTTGGCGGCTCGTCGCCAAAGCGGAGACGAGCGGAGGAGAAGGACGAGGGCATCGGCTCCCCGGACACGCTGGAGGAGGAGAAGGTGGAGGAGCTGCGCAGGGAGATGCTGGAGCTGCGGCAGCAGCTGGACAAGGAGCGCTCGGCCCGCACGCAGCTGGAGGAGCAGGTGAGCGTCTGCAGCACGCCTCGCACCGCGCAGCACACACATGTCTGAGGAGAAGCCATTAACCTCTCCCCCCCGCCTCCCGTTCGACAGTGGTACGGTCCGATGAAAATCAAACCGGTTTGAAATTGCAAGCCGCTTATGTCACAGCTTGGTCAGTGGGTTGTGGTCCAGCAGTGCCCACGCCTAAATGCGTAAACATAAACGTAAACTCCAGTTGGTCCTTGTGAGGCTATCTGGCGAGCATCGGGCTGTACAGTAGGCTTGTCCCAATCTGACATTTGGATCGGATCGAACGCCGGTATTTGCTAAAAAATGCACATCGGCCGGAAAGAGAAAATGCTGTTACAGACTGCCGATCCAGTTTTTTTTTAAGTCCAATCCCACATGAGCGTTAGCATCTCCTAACCCACAGCTCTGTGTCCTAACCGTTAAGTTGTTATCAGAGTAAAAACCTGTTAAACATGAGTCTGACAACTAAGTAGGCTAATTTACTTTAAACTTTGATACATGCTCTGATAGGCCGGTATCGGATCAGTAGTGCAAATATAATATCGGTATCGGATTGGAAGTGAAAAAAGCCGGATCAGGACATCCCTACCGTACGGTGTGACAACGTAAATCGTGAGCTGCGAACTTTCCCGCCCCGCGATTTCGTCGTGCAGTTTGAGCCGGAGCCAAGTGCAACGACTGGAAAATACCACCCACCCAGCCTTATCAGCCCACACCCCGGATCCGGCCGGGCCGGCGGGTTAAAACAGGCGCTGGAGGCAAACAGAGAGCAGAGCGAGCCGAGAAGTAGACGGCAAACATTGGGCGGGGCGGGCATTTGGCGCATCTAGACAGTAGAGGGAGATCCAAAACGGCAAACTTTTCCTCCTGTGTGCGCAGCGCCCTCCTCCAGACCCTCCTCCTGAGGCTTTACCGACCGCTGTGTGTGTGTGTGTGTGTGTGTCGCAGGTGCGCTCGCTGGACACCCAGCTGCACCCGGAGCGTCTGAAGGTGATCACCCAGCAGGTGGAGGAGGAGCAGGCGCTCCTGCAGAGCCAGACGCTGCTGCGGCTCCAGCAGATCCACGCCTCCGACCGGCAGACGCACAGCCCCCAGGTCAGAAACCCACCCGTCCGTCCGGCGGCCATTTTCCCTCCCTTTAACTGGGACCTTTAACTGATCCGTCCTTCCCCGCCAGGTGCCGGCGCCCGCCTCCACCCACCACCCCACGGTCATCGTCCCGGCCCCGACACTAACCCAGCAGCCCCCCCACCACCACGTCACCGTGGTGACGGTGAGCCCGTCGGCCCACACCAGCACCGTGTCCACCTCCAGACAGAACCTGGACACCATCGTGCAGGTAAGAGCGCCGCCCTGCCGGCCGCCGGGGAGGGGGGGGG